GGTATTCAAAAAGTTCATGGAAAATGTGTATTACAAAAAACTGCATGAATTTCAAAAACTTTTTCTAAAGATTTATTTATTTATTTAAGATTTATTTTATTTATTTGAAAGACTGAGTTACAGAGAGAGATAGAGCCAGGCCAGTTTCCACTGATTAAGCCAAGTAATGGTAAGCTTGTGGCACCTGTGCAAATCAAGGCAATGACAACTAACTGTACTAGTAGTCACTGTAATTCTTCATTCATCCTAGTTTTATTTAAGAGTATCCTTGGTGAAGCAGGACAAATGAATACCCATCTTTTTTATATTCAGCAGTATGAAATGGAAATTCACAAAGTGCTTCTACATACCAAGGTATAGTGGTTGCTTCAAGGAAAAGCAGTTGTGTGATTGTTCACGTTGGAAGCTGAACTTAGCAATTGTGTTCATAAATCACTGTTAAGAACTCAGAATGATTATTTGGGTATTTGGTAGATGTTTTCTTGAAAATTGGCAAAGTCATTTCAAGTAAAAAGTTAACAGTATCTATTGCCAATGGTCACCTTTGGATTTCCAAGCAAAAAGTATAATTTTGGAAAATTTATGTCCACTACAATGATTTTGATAGCTTTACATTTAAAAAGGGTTTTCCAATGAGTCTGGGGTGATGTTAACAGGTATATATATATATTTTTTTGATGTTGTATGATTAGATGCCACAACATTCAGAAGTTCTGCATTAACTTAGGAAATTAGCATTTTCAAGTGACATCATACATAGATATGATCCATGCAAGGTACAAGGAGTCTGAAATATTTGACATGGTTTCAGATTCCATATTGCAAGTAATCTTTTTAAAAAAGCCACTTGTTATGTTAAAGTTTTTGTTTCAAAGAAGATGATCTACAGTTTCTCTTTTAAAGCATCCCTCCCTTTACCAAGTTTTCTTCCCATACTTCCACACACACAACACATCACTACAGATTGAATACAAAGCGGGTATGAGGGCCGGCGCCGCGGCTCACTAGGCTAATCCTCCGCCTAGCGGCGCCGGCACACCGGGTTCTAGTCCCGGTCGGGGCGCCGGATTCTGTCCCGGTTGCCCCTCTTCCAGGCCAGCCCTCTGCTGTGGCCAGGGAGTGCAGTGGAGGATGGCCCAGGTGCTTGGGCCCTGCACCCCATGGGAGACCAGGAAAAGCACCTGGCTCCTGGCTCTTGCCATCGGATCAGCGCGGTGCGCCGGCCGCAGCGCGCTGGCCGCGGCGGCCATTGGAGGGTGAACCAACGGCAAAGGAAGACCTTTCTCTCTGTCTCTCTCACTGTCCACTCTGCCTGTCAAAAAAAAAAAAAAAAAAGCGGGTATGAGAATTCGGTAGTCTATTAAGTCAGACCTTGAGATTTATACAGATGTAAAACAGTGCCAATTTGTTGGGAGTGGATTATTTTTTATGTTAACTTGTAATTGGGTTTAGTTATTTTTAAATGAGTTAACTAATTAAAAATATTTTGAGTTTTAGTTTCTCATATGCCAGTTGTTAATTATGTATAATATAAACAAAAATTCCTTGGCTTCTTAATTTTTAAGACTGAAAAGGAGGGACCAGCATTGTGTCATGGTGGGTGAGGCCACCACCTACAGTTCTGGCATCCCATATGTATACTAGTTCAAGTCCCAGCTGCTCCACTTCCGATTTAGCTCCCTACTAATGCTCCTGGGAAAGCAGTGGAAGATGGCCCAAGTACTTGAGTCCCTGCCCCTCCCTGTGGGAGACTCAGATGATGCTCCAGGCTTCACCACAGTCCGGTTCCAGTCATTGTAGCCATTTGGGATGTAAACCAGCAGATGGAAGATTCTCTCTCTCTTCCTCTACCTCTACCTCTAATTCTGCCTTTCAAATAAATAAGTAAATCTTATAATAAAAGGGAGTCTGAGACCAAAATTTGATAACTGTCATTCTATACTTTGATTTGGATAGTGATTACATAAGTATTCCTGTTCTGTAATTTAATACACTTTACTTTCTATATATTTTACACTTTAATAAAAAATATTGATCTTCCCTCCAAATTAAAGAGATTAGTTGTCCAGATGGAGAGAGTTTACTTATTTATTTTTTTAAATATTTATTTTATTTATTTGAAAGAGTTAACAGAGAGAGAAGGAGAGGCAGAGAGAGAGAGAGGTCTTCCCTCTGTTGGTTCACTCCCCAATTGGCTGCAACAGCCGGAGCTGCACCAATCCAAAGCCAGGAGCTTCTTCCAGGTCTCCCATGTGGGTTAAGGGGCCCAAGGACTTGGTTCATCTTGTACTGCTTTCCTAGGCCATAGCAGAGAGCTGGATCGGAAGTGGAGCAGCAGGGCCTTGAACTGGCGCCCATATGGGATACCAGCTCTGCAGGCGGTGGCTTTACCTACTACACCACAGTGCCAGCCCCCTCCCCTTTATTTTTTCAAAGATTTAATGAAGAGAGTTTTTAAAATTATTCCTAGGAACTCATCAGGTTGAGTTTTATGAAATTTACCAGAAAGTTTATATTTATCAGAAAAAAATCTTGGCTAGAATTTTCTTTATTTCTCCTCATTTTTTTCTTCTTTTCTCTTATGTATTTTTTAACTTTTATTTAATAAATATAAATTTCCAAAGTACAGTTTTAGGATTACAGTGGCTTTTCCCCTCCATAACTTCCCTGCCACCTGTAACCCTCTCATCTCCCACTCCCTCTCCCATCCCATTCAAATCAAGATTCATTTTCAATTATCTTTAGATACAGAAGATCAATTTAGTATATATTAAGTAAAGATATCAACAGTTTGCACCCACACAGAAACACAATGTGTAAAGTACTGTTTGATTACTAGTTATAGCATTAAATCTCAATGTACAGCACACAAAGGACAAATTCACATTGTACAACACATTAAGGACAGAGATCCTGCATGGGGAATAAGTGCACAGTGACTCCTGTTGTTGACTTCAAACAATTGACACTCTTGTTTATGGCATCAGTAATCACCCTAGGCTTTTGTCATGGGTTGCCAAGGCTATGGAAGCCTTTTGAGTTCACCAACTCTGATTTTATTTAGACAAGGTCATAGTCAAAGTGGAAGTTCTCTCCTCCATGCAGAGAAAGGTACTTCCTTCATTGATGGCCCGTTCTTTCCGCTGGGATCTCACTCGCAGAGATCTTTCATTTAGGGTTGGTTGGTTTTTTTTTTTTTTTTTTTTTTGCCAGAGTGTCTTGGCTTTCCATGCCAAGACATGGAAGAGCCCAAGACTCTCATGACTTAAGGGCTGATTCTGAGGCCAGAGTGCTCTTATTTATTTCTTAGACAGTTATTTCTAGTTGATGTTAATATGGGACATCTTAGCTTTGCCTTAAGTATAGAGGCATATCTCTACCTTCTTATGGCAAATGTTAGCATTGACCATAAACCCATTTTCATCACAGACAAGATGGTTAGTTGGTTACTGAGTTTAGCAGCTGTTTATACTGAGCAGAAGGCCCTGTGTTAATGATTTCTTATTGTGAACTCAAGGTGGTAACAGTTTAATAATGGGTAAAAATTTGCTACAGATTAGTTAGACCATAAAGCCAGTGACCATAAAGCCAATTGTGTTAGTAATTCTTCTGTAAGTAGGATCCTAAAAAGAAAAGTTGTTAATAGCATGTGAACAAAAACTTGAAAAACAGCTTAGTTACCTGATTTAAAAATACCTTTTATTGGTTTCCAGTTTTAAAAAAAATGCTGTGAAAACATACACTCACTTGATGGGCATTTAGCCTGGCAGTTACGATGCCCATGTTCCACATTGTAGTTCTTGGGTGACAGTTCCTGTCACTGGCTCCTGACTCCAGCTTCCTGACAGTGCAGACTCTGGGAGGCAGAGGTGATGGCTCACATAGTTGAGTTCTTGGTACATTTGGATTGAGTTCCCTGTTTCTCACATCAGCCTCAGCCCAGTGCTGCTGTCAGCATTTGGGAAGTTATCTAACAGATGGGAACTTATTCCCTTTCTGTCTCTCTGTTTCTGCCTCTCAAATGAATACAAAATTTTTTTTAACTATGCATATATACTATTAATGATCAGTTATCTGAAGTCCCTAGCCCTAGCTAGTTAACCACTGCTAACATTTTGACCTCATAGTCCTTTTTATCTAATGTATATATTAGCATATTATTTTTTTTTAATTTTTTTTTTTTTGACAGGCAGAGTGGACAGTGAGAGAGAGAGACAGAGAGAAAGGTCTTCCTTTGCCGTTGGTTCACCCTCCAATGGCCGCCGCGGCCGGCGCGCTGCGGCTGGCGCACCGCGCTGATCCGATGGCAGGAGCCAGGAGCCAGGTGCTTTTCCTGGTCTCCCATGGGGTGCAGGGCCCAAGCACCTGGGCCATCCTCCACTGCACTCCCTGGCCACAGCAGAGGGCTGGCCTGGAAGAGGGGCAACCGGGACAGAATCCGGCGCCCCGACCGGGACTAGGACCCGGTGTGCCGGCGCCGCTAGGCGGAGGATTAGCCTAGTGAGCCGCGGCGCCGGCCATATTAGCATATTATTTTTAAAAATTAGATTGCTTATCTATGATTGTGAAAATATTTTAGGCAGTTAAGTTTTCAATTTAAATATAATAAATACTGTGAAGCCTATTATTTAAAAAGAAAATCTAGGGTTTTTTTTTTTTTGTGGCCTAAGATTTTGATAGTAGTTTTGCTTAAAGCTTAAACAGAATCAATTTATACTTGACAGAGTAAAAATCCAGTATAACCCTCATTAAATGCTTTTGAACTAATTATACCTAATAATAAACCAAATATATATGCCTCTAGACAGACCTGCCCTTTAGTTTGAGAACATTGAATTATTTCTAAGTGACCATGGAGTTAGTAATGAAGGGGAAGCACCAAAGAAAAGCCTGTTGGAATTGTGTCTTCTGCTGTGTACCTACTCAGTCATATTTTTGTATAGTTGCTTGAAAGACATTCTTTATAGTGGGAACTACTTAATTGTTGCTTTTCATTCTAGGTGACATTGTACAACGCTGATCAGGATGGTAGTGATAGCCCACGAAGTAGCCTTAACAACAGTCTCTCAGACCAGAGTTTGGCATCTGTTAATTTGAACAGTGTTGGAAGTGTGCATAGTTATACACCGGTAAGTCTTGGTGAAGTTAGTTGTTTGATAATCATTTAGTGCTTAAGACAAAACCAAAAGTAATTGAAATGCAAATAAAAAATGACTAGTGTTTTTCTCTAACTAGTATATTAGTTTAGTAAGTAGATCAGGCTTAAGTAGATTTCTCCCTTGATGAAGTCTTAATTTTGAACTTCTGTTTTACTAAGTACCTACAGTTATGTTGCTGTGTATAAGGGAGATTTAAAAGTTCAGCAAAAATTCATGTTCTTTCAGTTCCATTTTCCATTAACTTTTTGAAGACCCCTCATATTTTAAACTACTTTATTCCACCTGTTCTATGTCCACGTGAAAAGCTATTGGAATAGGAAAATTTTACTTTGTTTAGAACTGCAGATGATAATCTGCTTACTCTTCTAGGAAAAAGAGCTTAGAAGATATGTGTATTGACTTGTTGTCTAGTTGTAGGTCTAAGATAGGAATTCTGTAAACCCCAAAGGTTAGGGTTGCCTGGTGCTCCATTGTTAACTACTCTTATATTTTCAGAGTTGGTCTGGGAAACATAGTCATAATATAAAGAAACCTGTGTGAAAGTATCCTTGCTCCTGTGCTGATTTGTTAACCTGTACAGGATCATGACCCTTGGGTTTATCTGATACTTCCTTTCTTACCAGCTGATAACTATCTGCCCCACTGGGCAGAGAACAGAGAGGAACTACACACCAGTGTAAATTCGATCTTACCAGATCACATTCTGTCCCATGATTGATTAGTAAATAGGAAAAAACTCACAAATGGCTACAGAGTACTTCAAGAGTCCATGGAATATGTGAATTATAAAAAAGCTACGCATGGACTTCAGATTTTTTTCTGCACTAAAATAAGCTTAATCTTTTCATTCTGTTTTTCCCATGAACTTCTTTGAACTACCCTGCTATATAGGGGGAGCCTAAGAGAATAATTGCACAAGGGTAATAAAAACTCAGCAAAATTGAAATTCACACTAAGTGTAGGCACCAAGAAAGTTGACTCTGCAATACTGTTTTCAGTGCTCTTGGGAAAAAATGAGAATGATTTTCCCCAGAATGCAGAAGAAAAAGAAAAGGAAAGTAAAATTCTGTAAAAGGTGACAATAAATACAGAGAACTGAGAATTATAGGTATCCCTGCAGAAAACACCAGAAAAATTGATAGAGAAGCAGTTTTCAGAATAAATAGAGTTTTAAAACAAGGCTGGCACCGCAGCTCAATAGGCTAATCCTCCACCTTGCGGCGCCGGCACACTGGGTCCTAGTCCCGGTCGGGGCGCCAGATTCTGTCCCGGTTGCCCCTCTTCCAGGCCAGCTCTCTGCTGTGGCCAGGGAGTGCAGTGGAGGATGGCCCAAGTGCTTGGGCCCTGCACCCCATGGGAGACCAGGAGAAGCACCTGGCTCCTGCCTTTGGATCAGCGCGATGCGCCGGCCACGGCGGCCATTCGAGGGTGAATCAATGGCAAAAAGGAAGACCTTTCTCTCTGTCTCTCTCTCTCCACTCTGCCTGTCAAAAAATAAATAAATAAATAAATAAATAAATAAATAAATAAATAAAATATTGGGGAAAATATCTAGAAGCATTCTGGAAAATTTAAAGATTTCAAAAGTGATCACTCATAAAGTTACATGCAGGGAAGCACTTCTCAGTAACTCTGGATGCCTGAAGATAATACAGCACTGTGCAGAGTGTGGAGGGAGTAGATTTCAAACAACAAATGTTATGTCCAGTCAGATTTTCATTCATATATGAAGGCAAAAAAATTCACTTCTTGATACCTTGCCCTTGTTTTCATGTATCCTTCCTGAAAAAAATGACAGTTTTGCCTTGGTGTTCTTGGGAGATTGGTTCCAGGACCCTTGTGGATACCAAAATCTGAGGGTGCTCAAGTCCTTTTGTTGTACTTTTGTATAGAACCTGCACACATCATCCTATATACTTTACATCATCTCTAGATTACTTACAATACCTAATACAATGTAAGTGCTATGTGTATAGCTATCATACATTGTTTAGGGAATAGTGATGAGAAAGAAAGAAATCTGTACATGTTCTGTATAGACAACAGTTTTATTTTTCCACATATTTTTGATCTGTGGATGTAGATTACCTTCCATATTTAGCTGATCAATAGATGAATCAGACTTGATGATAAAGTCATGATATAGGAACATTACTTGTATCATTGAAGCAAACTAAACAAAAACTTAAATGATTTTAAGTTGCTTTTTAATCTTGGTGCAAAAATTTTGGAAAGCAAAGGAAATGAATCCAATATCACAAAATATAATAAAAAGAAAAATTAAAGAAACATTTATAGAAGTAGATAACAGAAGTCAGAACTAATATGTATGTTTTGCCAATAATTGCAAGAGGGTTAAACTCACCTATTAAAAGCTAGACATCATAGACTACTATTTTCACCTAACAAGATGTCATATAGTCTTTATTTATTTATTTGTTTTATTTTATTTTATTTTTTTTGATAGGCAGAGTGGACAATGAGAGAGAGAGACAGAGAGAAAGGTCTTCCTTTTGCCGTTGGTTCACCCTCCAATGGCCACCGCGGCCGGCGCGCTGCGGCCGGCGCACCACGCTGATCCGATGGCAGGAGCCAGGTGCTTCTCCTGGTCTCCCATGGGGTGCAGGACCCAAGCCCTTGGGCCATCCTCCACTGCACTCCCAGGCCACAGCAGAGAGCTGGCCTGGAAGAGGGGCAACCGGGACAGAATCTGGCGCCCCGACCAGGACTAGGACCCGGTGTGCCGGCGCTGCAAGGCGGAGGATTAGCCTAGTGAGCCGCGGCGCCAGCCCATCATATAGTCTTTTTTTTTTTTTTTTTTTAAGGGGAAAGTGTTTATTGGTGGGGGAAACCTGACAGACCAGAGGAAAGGGGCAAAGAAGGAAAAGAGAGAAGAGAGTGTAAGAAAGAGAGCTCAAGAGACAGAGAGATAGAGAGAGAGAGAGAGACATGTTCAGGAATAGGTCCTGTTAAACCTAGGCTGGGGGTCGGGCAGGGAAGTAAGAGTAGCAAATCCCATACTGGGGTTGGGGTGGAGCTGACACCTGTTGTTGGGTCATTGATTACCTGGCTTCCAAGCAGTGGCGGTTGAGGGCTAGAGCCTAGGATGGTGTCTGGGGTTTAGGTCACGCCATAGGTAACACTGCACCATTTTACTAACATTCCCCCCTTTTGTTTTTTATAAAGCAAGAGTTGTATGGGATTACAAAAGCCCCAAAAGTCCAGGAGGGGTAGAAGGATAATGATCTGTCTTTAGAACTACTTCTGACGTGGGGCAACGAGATACTCTCTGCTGTCATTGAGCGATTTCTCAAGCCACTGTCTCCTGGGTGGGGAACCAAGTATATCCTTGTAGTAGCATTTGGTTGACTGCCAGGTTGGTGAAGGCTTTGGTTCGTTCCATTATCACCTCCTGTAAACACTTAAACAGACATGGTAGTATAAAAGGGTGAGAATAGCAACCAATAATCCTACGAGTAGCATTAACCAAGTAATGAGAGGATCTCATAGAGGAGAGGAAATGAGGGTGGGGGGTCTCTGGACCCTTGTGACTGTTTGATGTATGTGGTTTAAAGCTGATCCCAACCAAGACTGGGAGAAAGGCCACTCATCTTTTGCGGATAGAGGGGTTTGTCTGTAGAGAAAACTGAACAATCATATACAATAAACTGGGGAGAGGACCATAAATATACACCAGTTGGGAGTAAAGCCATTGATGTATGAGTAGAGGCTATGATTCTAAAGGAATGAGGCCCCAGGTGAACTAGATGTCATATAGTCTTTAAGCAACATTGTGGTAGCTACTGCTGGTTAAGACTTGTCACGTACCTATTGATTGAGACAGCTTTATTTCCACATACTAAGTGTAAAGTCTGTATAAGACTTAAACATATATGCCTGTTTGAGTAACATATAGTATGTGGTATAAGCTAGATCAATGTGAAATCAACTCCTTCTGTCCCACATAATACCAAAACAGAATATTCAGGGGGCAGACTACACAAGTAGTGGATCAGTCTTGAGACAGAACAAAGTTCTTTCTGCAGCTAAGTAGTTTTGTGACCGGCAGCTATACTCAGAGGGAGAAGGGCAGAAAGTCGCATGCCTCACAGACCCAGTGAGTCACTGAGAATCTGTCTGTAGGCAGTCTCCTGCAAGATAGATAGATGGATCAAAGCTAACCAATGGCTACCTCCCTAAGATTCCTTACTGCTTTCAAAACACTTATTTAGAAAGATAGCTTACTGGGGCCGGCGCTGTGGTGTAATTGCTGAAGCCCAGTGCCAGCATTACATATGGGCACTGGTTTGAGTCACAGCTGCCCCACTTCTGATCCAGCTTCTTGTTAATGTGCCTGGAAAAGTGGCAGAAGATGGTCAAGTTCTTAGGCCCCTGCACCCACATAGGAAAACTGGAAGAAGCTCCATGTTCCTGGCTTCAGATTGGCTCAGCTCCAGCCTTTGCAGCCATTCAGGGAGTGAACCAGTGGCTGGAAGACTCTTCCCTTTCCCCTTCCCTCTCTCTCCCTCCCCCTTCCCTTCCCCCACTTCCTTTATCGTCTCTCTCACCCTCTCCGTCCCCCTCACTCTGTCCCCTCTCCCCCCTCTCCCTCTCTCTCTCCCCGTCTTTCTTCTTCTTCCTCTAATTCTAACTCTGCCTTTTGAATAAGTAAAATAAACCTTTAAAAAAAAAAAAGATTTACTTATTTGAAAGGCAATTAGAGAAAGAGAGCTTCTATCTACCAGTTCACTCCCCAAATGGCTGCAACAGCCAAGGCTGGACCAGGCTGAAGCCAGGAGCCTGGAACTCTATCCCAGTGTCCCATGTGAGTGGCAGGCGCCCAAGCATTTGGGCCATCTGCTGCTGCTTTCTCAGGTGCATTAGTGGAGCAGTCAGTGCTTGAACTGTGCTCATATGGTGTGTCAGCATCTCAGGAAGTGGCTTAACCCATTGCATCAAAACATCTGCACCTTAATTCTTACTTTAAAGGTTTTTTAAAAATAGTTTTAAAAAATCTCCTGCACAGCTCAATGCTCTGATCCTTTCCAGCTTCCTGAAGAATCTTAAAAAAACAAACAAACAAAAAAAACCAAAACTTAATTTCTCATTTCCTTCAGTTTCTTTTGTTTTTTAAAAACATTCCCCTAGAAATGAAGAAATGCGCATATTGAAGCTCCTTGTTAATGGGGCACTGCCATACAATGGCTTATAATACTTGAATGTATATTGAATAAATGAAATAAATGTTAGAATCTTCATAGTATAGTGGAGTTTGAAATGAAGTTGCTGCTTTAGAAACCAGGAGGACGATTCTATAGAAACTGGAAGAATTCAGCCCTAACAAGATCACTTATTTGTGTGATCTTGGGTGAGTCATTTACTTTCCTTGGACTCTTCTCCTTTTCTGTGATACATGGATGTGGGATTAGATTTCTGTGGTTCTTCTAGATCCAAGTTAACAATATTGGTCTTTGTCTTTTATATGTACCCAGCTTAACAGAGGATGGGAAAACCGAAAGAAGTTATTTCCTTTGAATTCCAATGTTGGCACTGCTGCTTTCAGTTGTGTATTTTGTGTAACAAGCCAGTTGTAATTTAGAGCCACTGAATTGGTTGTGTTTTCCATTAATGTCAGGTGACAAACCATCCAGAACCAGTGTCACAGTCATTAACTCCTCAGCAGCAGCCACAGTACAACCTTCCAGAGCGAGACAAGCAGCTACTTTTCTCAGAATACAATTTTGAAGATCTCAGTGCCTCATTTCGGAGCCTTTATAAGTCAGTTTTTGAGCAGTCACTTAGTCAACAAGGTGAGTTCTTTTCATGCATTTTTGGTAATAAGAATTAATTTTTTAAAAAATTTTTCTTTTGATTATTTTAATATAGCAGCTGTTATACTTCCTTAACTTTAAAACACTATCATAATTATATATCATTGCATAGAAATGACAGATAAATTTCATCTCATATGCCAACCTTACTTAGGGTATCCTTTGTGCTATGTTGAAGAATTTTGACACTGCCTATGTGCTATGTGGAAAAGACTGCCATGATTAATTAGTGATGTTCAGCATGTGAAGTGTTTGGAGTGGTGAATGTGAACAAGAGTAGATGTGCATTAATTTTGTTCTGACTGATAACAGCAAAAAGATGGCTATTGGAATGTGGAGCTCCGAGTGTGAGTATACTGGCTAGTGCTAAACTCACCAGGTCATTGTTTATAAGCATGCTTAAATCAGATTTTTTTTCTTTTTAAAGAGATTTATTTTTTTTAACTTTTATTTAATGAATATAAATTTCCAAAGTACAGCTTGTCGCTCCCCCTCTTCGTGGAGGAACGACACCAAACCCTGCCTAGGCTTCATATCCGAGTCACGGCACCATTATGTCGCTCCCCGTCTTCGTGGAGGAACGACACAGGACCCTGCTCTGTTCTTCTGTCTGCTCGGCCCTCCCCGGGTTTGCTGCTGGTTCTTCCCGGGTTGGCTACCGACCCTTCCCGGGTTGGCTGCTGGTCCTTCCCGGGTTGGCTACCGTCCCTTCCACCTCCGTGGAAGGGCGGTTCCCCCTGCCGCTTTCCCCACTTCTGCGGGGGAGCGGCACACCGCAGGCCGGCTCTCTCGGGGGCTGCACAGGTGTTCCTTCAGATAGATGTTCCCCTCAGATGTTCCTGGTGCATGTTGTCTCTCTCCTCCTTTATAGTCCTCTTCCACCAATCCCAACTCTGCTACCCACACGCCGAGTACGCTGCTCTCCTCCAATCAGGAGCAGGTCCCACAGTTTATTGGTTGAACTGGAGGCAGCTGTGTAGAAGCTGTTTCCCTTCTCAGCGCCATATTGTGGGAGAGCAGATGCATAGAATAAGTCTTAATTCCAGTAACTTAGTCTAGTCCGAGTTGCTCCCAGTTGCTCCCCACACAGCTTATGGATTACAATGGCTCTCCCCCCCCATAACTTCCCTCCCACCCGCAACCCTCCCCTTTCCCTCTCCCTCCCCCCTTCCATTCACATCAAGATTCATTTTCAATTCTCTTTATATACAGAAGATCAGTTTAGCATATATTAAGTAAAGATTTCAACAGTTTGCACCCACATAGAAACACAAAGTGAAAAATACTGTTTGAGTGCTAGTTATAGCATTAAATCACAATGTACAGCACATTAAGGACAGAGATCCTACATGAGGAGTAAGTGCACAGTGACTCCTGTTGTTGACTTAACAAATTGACACTCTTGTTTATGGCATCAGTAATCACCCTAGGCTCTTGTCATGAGTCGCCAAGGCTATGGAAGCCTTTTCAGTTCACCAACTCTGATCATATTTAGACAAGGTCGTAGTCAAAGGTGATTGTAGTTGAGATGCAGTATACATTACAACCAAATATTAACATGTTCTTGTCCTTTTTACTTTTTAATTTTTGTCAGAGTTATGATAGCTTAAAAAAAAGTTACCTTGTGTTTCTCCCATAAAACACTAGAACGTGTTCTACTGTTAGTGCATTTCCTAGCTACTTGTTTGGCAAGTTAACTACTTATACACCGTGTTTTCTTATTCTTTTCCTGCTGCTATAGTAAAATACTTTAGACCAGGGCCAGTATTGTGGCATAGTGAGTTAAATGGCTGCTTGTGATGCTGGCATCTCACGTTGGAGTACCAGTTCAGGTCCCACTGTTTCATCTCTGATCTGGCTCTTTTCTAATGCACCTGGGAAGGCAGTAGAAGATGGTCCAAGTACTTGGGCCCCTACCACCTGTATGGAAGACCAGGATGGAGTTCCTTGCTGCTGGCCTCAGCACAGCTCAGATCAAATGGATGAGGCCATTGGAAGTGAATCAGTGGACAAAAGATTTCTTTGCCTTATGGTCTTGCTCTCACTTTTAAATAAATAAATCTTTGAAATAAATAATATTAGACTTGATAATAAAAAATCTTAGACTTGATAATTTATAATCAAATTTATTTCTGTTCTGAGTCTAGGAAGCCCAAGATCAAAGTGTTGACAGATTCAGTGTCTGATAAAGGCTGTTCTTCATAGATGATGTCTTTCAGCTGTGTTTTCACGTGACAGCAGAGATGGAAGGGCAAAAGGGGACAACTGGTTCTCCAAAGTCCTTTTGTAAGGGCACTGATCCCTGATCACCTCCTATATTCTTCATCTCCTAATACAATTCAACATCTTGCAGTTTAAGTTCTTCCATAGAAAAATTGTGAAGGGACACATAACATTCAGACCATAGCACCCCAGCTCATAGTTTACCTGTTCATAGCACTAAACAAAATAAACAAAAGTCCTTACAGTGTACATGTTAATATATTGTCAGTTATCAAAGATACTAACAGCATGTTACAGGAATGGCTTTTTCTAGTTAGTGTTTTTGGAATAAGATACAGTCTTTATTAAAAGATTTATTGATTTATTTGAAAGAGTTACAGAGAGAATCTTCTGATTCACTCCCGAAGTGACTGCAAAGGACAAGGCAGACCTCAGGCCAAAGCCAGGAGCTGCTTCAGGGTCTCCCATATAGCTGGTAGGGGCCCAAACACTTGGGGCATCTTCTGCTTTTCCCATTAGCAAGGAGCTGGATTGCCAGTGAGGCAGCTGGGACATATACCAGAGCCAGTATGGGATACCACTGTCACAGGCAGTGGCTTTACCTGCTATGCCATAATGCTGGCTCCTGGAAAAAGATAAATTTTATCTTAAGTTTTCTATCTATAAAAGTATAAATAACTAATGAGTTGAATACTGCTAAACAAATTCAACCTTGGTGATCATAATAGAAAAATACTGACTTTAAAATAACAATGTTAATTTCTGAAGCTCATAATTCCACTTCATTACACTATTGAAAAAACACAACATTGGTAGGAATTCTGGATTCTAGTCCAGATTCTACAATATGGTCAGCTGAATTAGCCTCACTTTTCTAAACTTTTGCATCATTTGTACAGTGAAGAAGGTTGGGCTAGGTTGGTGGCTTTCAGATTGTTCTCTGCAGATCCCTTGGCTTTTGTAAGGGTCTTGGGCTATAAGGGGAGAAATGTACAGATAAAGAGGGAGGGGTAGCAGACTTCTCTCTCTGGCTTCAATAAAAGCAGCTTTATTAGATTCATATATTGGGCTTCTGGGGAAATATTTTTCTTTGTTTTATTGTGTAAAAATAATTTGAGTATGAAAAATTTTAGTTTAGATTAGATCGAGAGAGAGAGAGAGGTCTTCCATCTGCTGTTTCACTCCCCAAATGGCTACAGTGGCCGGAGCTGCACCAATCTGAAGCCATGAGCTTCTTCTAGGTCTCCCACGCAGTTGCAGGGGCTCAAGGACTTGGGCCATCTTCTACTGCTTTCCCAGGCCACAGCATAGAGCTATGGAAGTAGAGCAGCTGGGACTCAAACCAGCGACCATATGGGAGGCCAGCCAGCACTGCAGGCGGCAGCTTTCATTTTAAGATGCTGGGATTTTGTTTGAAATTGATAATGAAATTATTGCTTTCTTTAATCTTACTGTAGCAACCTGATAGAGTCCCTGTTAATGACAGTTTTCCAGGGCCAATGTTAACTCTTCTCCCTATAAAACTTTTTTAGATTTTAAGATCATCTTAGAATGTTCTCAAATATACTTTTACTATTCATGACGAGTATGAGAATAATTTTATCTGTGTTAAAAAGTTTGATTCTTTGGGGCTGGTACTGTGGTGTAATGGGTAAAGCCGCCACTGTACCAGCACCCCATATGGGCTCCAGTTCAAGTCCTGGGTGCTCCACTTCTGATCCAGCTCTCTGCTGTGGCCTGGGAAAACAAGTCCTTGGGCCCCTGCACCCACGTGGGAGACCTGGAAGAAGCTCCTGGCTCCTGGCTTTAGATCAGCACAGCTCGGTCTGTTGCGGACATCTGGGGAGTTAACCAGCAGGTAGAAGACCTCTCCCCCTCCCTCCCTCTCTCTTTCTCTCTCTCTCCCTGCCTCTCTCTCTCTCTCTCTACTCTGCCTTCAAATAAATAAATCAACCTTTAAAAAATTTGATTACTTTTATTGGCTGATACTGTCTTATAAGCGTCCCCCCCCAACACTTAATTAAATTCTTTATCTTTAGTTCAGCAAAACACTGTATGGACAGATTATCCTTTGGGATATAAAACTAGCCTAGGGTCCGACACCATGGATCAGTAGGTTAATCCTCTGCCTGCGGCGCCGACATCTCATATGGGTGCCAGTTCTAGTCCCAGCTGCTCCTCTTCCAGTCCAGCTCTATGCTATGGCCTGGGAAAGCAGTGGAGGATGGCCCAAGTGCTTGGGCCCCTGCACCCACGTGGGAGAGCAGGAAGAAGCACCTGGCTCCTGGCTTCGGATCAATGCAGCACTGCCTGTTGCGGCCAATTGTGGAGTGAACCAGTGGATAGAAGACCTTTCTCTCTGTTTCTGTAATCTCTCTGCTCTCTGTAATTGTGGCTCAGAGAAGTTAAGTCCCTTGCCAAAGAGTGTTTAAATGACAACACAGAGGCTTGACTCCCTTACTCTGGTACTGTAAGGAATGCATTGTTAACCCCTAAACTGTATATCTCTTGAATATTCCATAAGAGCAGTGAAGAATTGGAGAAGGCTGTTTTGCTTAGTCTAAAAGATTCTAGTGACTTTGGACTTCATGTTTTTTGGAATGGTCTAAGATAAGAGACCAGAAATATCTGGATTTCATTTCTCTCTTCCTTTTCTGTCAAAGCTTTGGTCTTTATGCCTATAGAGAACCATCCTGAGTGTTACCCAACACTTTCCACACATTTTTCCTAATGTTTACTCATTTTTAGGATTCAGCACAGATACTATCTTTTCAAGGAATGCTTCTCTGTCCAGCTTCTTCGTGGCCAAACAGGCAGCAGAGTTTGTGTTATCTTCTGTATACTTTTGGTATACTGCTTACATTGTTGGATATACTTTTTTAAAAAATTACTCATTTGTGGCCAGAGAGAGAGAGAGAGCAAGCAAGCCAGATAGCACTCCCATGTTCTAGATCATCCCCCAAATGTGTACAATGGCCAGGACTGGACCAGGCCAGAGCTGGGGTGTAGGAACTCAATCCAGGTCTCCTGTATGGATGGCAGGAACTCTCACTTGAGCTGTCATGGCTACCTTTCTGAGTCTGCATTAGCAGGAAGTTGGAGTCAGGAGCCAAAACCACTATCAAACCCAAGTACTTCAGTATGGGATGTGAGCATCTAAACTGCTAGGCTAAGCGCCCACCCCTGTTGAACATAACCTTATTAGTTGTCTGTCTTTCCCACTCGACTGTGTCCTGCTGTGTACTACTCAAGGATAGGGAATGGTGTTTATTATTATTCTCATAACCCTAGGGCCCAGTGTATGGCAGATGTTCCATTGTTTAACTGACCCAGTTTTGCTTCTTGACAGCATACATCTTTGTTTGGTACTGTGAATATTTGTCAGAAATTGCAACTGAAATTTGATGGTAAATGATCTTGGCTCTCTCTCTTTTAGGTTTGATGAACATCCCTTCTGAATCTTCCCAGCCGTCCCACACTTCGTGTTCCTATCAGCACTCTCCTAGCAGTACAGTGAGCTCTCATCCACACAGCAGCCAAAGCAGCCTGTCCAACAGTCATGGCAGTGGCCTCAATACCACGGGCAGTAATTCAGTTGCACAAGTCTCGCTGTCCCACCCTCAGATGCACACACAGCCGTCCCCACATCCGCCTCACCGACCACATGGTTTACCACAACATCCGCAGCGTCCCCAGCACCCAGCTCCACATTCGCAGCAGCACAGCCAGCTCCAGTCCCCCCATCCCCAGCATCCCTCTCCACACCAACACATTCAGCACCATCCGAACCATCAGCACCAGACGTTAACACATCAGGCACCCCCACCTCCACAACAGGTATCCTGTAATTCTGGTAAGTTTTGTCTCCTAACTTGTGTGTGGCTAACCGTGAATTGGGATCTATCCTTTGTTATTTGGGGCTTATGTAGTGTTTTCTGCCAAAACCCTTTTCATCTGACTCCTTTTGTATTTTCTTGCTTTAATCCTAGAATTATAAATAATTTAATCCACAGATTTACCTGGAGATTTTCTTAATTAGAATTTACTATGGCAGCATTAGAGAAACTCAGCAACCCTTTCAAGTGTTGGTTTGCACTCTTGGTTTTGTCCTTCTGCTCACTGGAAGTATTTTTGAGTGTTTGAAAAGAGAGTGGAGTGCACAGTGTTGTCTGCACTCTCACCTGATACATTGTGGTATAGAGGAAAGAGCATATAGTTCTGTCAGAAAGACCTACATTTGAATCCTCCTTATGGTTCCTGTGACCTTGGGTAAATTACTTTTTTTAGCCTTGTTATTTACTAATGTATAAAAATGAAGCCAACACACCCTATATACAGTGTTTGGTGTTAAGAAGATCATACTGAGAATACAAATAGGAATTGCCTATGCTAGTACTTTGTGTCTTAACTATTCATGAGTATTTCCCTTCTTTTCTTCCCTCATTCATGTCCAGTATCTCATCTCAGAATGATAGATTGCAAAGAAAGAAAGCATTCTTCATATCCTGCTTTAAAAAAAAAAACTTGTGCGACTATCATTAAGATAGACATTGATGTTCTCTGGTGAGATGGTTAACTGATGTTATTTACAGGCTAGGCAGTCTTTGCACCATGGTAATCTAAGGGGGTTCTGCAGAGTAGGAAGGGTTTGTTACCACACTCTATGCAGGGTTGCTTTATTTTTGTTTGCCAAGTCAACATTTATTAAAGGAGCTGTCCTTCTGCCTGCTAACAAAAATGTTAGTCATGGCAAAGAGTGCCCTAGTTTCCTGGCATAATTTTGTTTCAGAGGGCTTTTGTACTTCTCTGGCTTTTTGACTGTGTTGTGCTTACCTTAGGAGATCTGTATTCTAGAATCCTTTGGCTATTTTATTAAGTACTTTAGTCATATAATTCTGATTTCCTTAACAATAAAGTTCTTCCTTGGCTAGAGGATCTGAGCCTGATAGATTTGAATGCCTGAGGCTCACTTGGGTCATTATTTAATAACACCCACCCCCCAAACAAATTTCTCCCTAAATTATGACTTGTTTGAGGGCAGGGTCATGGTGTCTCTACTTCATTTTTTATTGTAAAAATTCATGATTGATAATTTTATATGTAACTGGAAGTTAATACACCTAAGAGTTGTCTGTGATGCAGCAAAAAATCCTTATTCTTTTTTTTTTTTTTTTAAGATTGATTTATTTATTTGAAAGTCAGAGTTACATAGAGAGAGAAGGAGAGGCGGAGCCCGAGAGAGAATTCTTCTATCCATTTGGTCCCCAAATGGCCACAATGGCTACAGCTGAGCTGATCCAAAGCCAGGAGCCAGAAGCTTCTTCTGGGTTTCCCTGGGTGCAGGGGCCCAAAGACTTGGGCCATCTTCTACTGCTTTCCCAGGCCATAGCAGAGAGCTGGATCAGAAGTGGATCAGCTGGGACTCGAACTGGCACCCACATGGGATGCTGACACTGCAGGCAGCAGCTTTACCCACTACATCACAGCGCCGTCCCCAAGTTCTTACCTTCATATATTCAAGGTTAATCCTAAAAGCAGAGGAACATGACATGAATCACTGAATGGAGGATTTTCTTTCTCTGCTCAACATTATCTCCTGGAGCAGCTTTTGCCCTGTGGCCTCTGAGTGGTGACTACTTTGTTGACATACAGACTATGGAGTCTTAAGCTCCCCTGATGATGTCACATAAGAGAATACCATTCCTGACTAGAAATGTCCTGATCTGGATCCATCAGAATTTCTTTATTTAAAAAAAAAAAAAGATTTATTTTATTTAGTTGAAAAACAGAATTAAAGAGAGATAGAGACAGAGGTCTACCATCTGCTGATTTACTCCCCAAATGGCCACAACAGCTGGAGCTGAGCTGATCAGGAGCCAGGAGCTTCTTCCAGGTCTCCCATGTGGGTACAGGAGCCCAACAACTTGGGCCATCCTCCACTGCTTTCCCAGGCGCACTAGCAGGGTGCTGGATCGGAAGTGGAGCAGCTGGGACAAGAACTGCTGCCCATATGGGATGCCGGCATTATAGCTGGTGGCTTTACCCACTATGCTACATTGGCTCCCAGTTCTCAGTTTTGATGTTCTAAGGTTACCATGTGATTTGCAAGCTGCCAGACTAGAGGTTAGAAGACCTAGGCTAAAGTAGTAGATTCACTGTGATGATCTTGCTAAGTTATGCCATCTCTATGGGTTTAGTTTCCTTTCTTTGTAAAATGGAGAGAAATAGTACCTATTTTGCCTGTCTCATATACCATATTGCCCAACACATGATATAAGGGTACAAGTTCTTTTATCAGACTCAGCAAGGATCAGCCAATATCAGGAGTAAGACCAGCTCATTGTCTTCCCTTAAGATACACTTCAAATTTTCAGTATCCAAGAATTATAGTGTTGTCAATACTATTTTATAGGTGTTTCAAATGATTGGTATGCAACACTTGATATGCTAAAAGAAAGTTGTCGAATTGCCAGCAGTGTTAATTGGTCAGACGTAGACCTTTCGCAGTTCCAAGGTGAGTATTGGTTCTTTGTGACATATAACCCAGATACACATGAGCCTGTTTTCTCTTGTAGATTAGAAATTTCTTTGCAGTAAAAATAAACACCTTCATATAAAGGCATTTCTTTTGCAGTTTACAGTGTGCTTAGAAACAACATTTATACATTATAAATACATAATGAAGTATTGTGGCAAGTTGATAAAACAGAGGGCAGTTTGGTCAATTTAAAAGAATAAGGCTATGAATAGTTGTAAAATGTCATTCTTCATTGCATGGGCAAGTTGCTTCCATAATCTGGAATGAGCCAGTGGAAAGTTTGAGAGTTGAAAAAATTTTATCTTGCTATTTTCCTTGCAGTATTTGCAAAACTATGCTAACTGTATTTCCAATACTTTCCTCATAGGTCTGATGGAGAGTATGAGACAGGCAGATCTCAAGAACTGGTCTTTAGATCAGGTTCAATTTGCTGATCTCTGTTCTTCTCTTAATCAGTTCTTTACACAAACTGGCCTTATCCACTCACAAAGTAATGTTCAGCAAAATGTTTGTCATGGTGCCATGCATCCAGCAAAACCTTCCCAACATATTGGAACAGGTATGGGCTTCGTTAATCTTCTCAGCTATCTTCTAATCATACAAAATTCACTTCTTAAACAACTTGCTTGCCAACAGTGGCAGTGATCTGTTTACATCTTATTTTTCTTTTGTGATTTATATAATTATTTTACTATTATTTACAGTTAACTCCTTTGTAATATTTATCCTTTTATTAAGTTATCAAACAAGAATTAAATTCTCTTAATACTCATTTTAACAAAGACATTTTTGAAGTAATATCAATTTAAATTTGTGCAGATTTTCAGTGAAAACCAAATTAATGTTCTACGTTTATGGGAAGTGTTTGGTCTAGTGATTAAGACACTGGGTTGGGACACCTGCATCTCATACCAGAGTACCTAGGTTCAAGTCCTGATTCTGCTCCCAATTCCAGCTTTCTGCCATAGAACCTTCTGGGAGGCAGCAGGTAGTAGCTCAAATAATTGAGTTTCTGTCACCCATATGAGAGACCTGGATTAAACTCCTGGCTCCTGACTTTAGTCCAGACCATTTCTGGTTCTTGGAGATATTTGGGGATGGTACCTCTTCCTATGTTTCTGTTGCTCTCTTTCTGCTTTTTAAATTAATTAATTTTTGAAAAGATGCCAATGTTCTACATTGTAATACCTGGGTTTGATTCTGGGCTTTGACTTTCTGCTAATACAGACCCTGACAAGCAGTAGTGATGGCTCAAGGAATTTGATTCCACATGGGAGACCTGGATTTTGGTCCCCTGCCATTGTGGGTATTTGGGAGAGTGAACCAGAGGATGGAAGCTCTTTCTGTCTCTTCCTCTTAAATAAAGTGTGTGTGTGTGTGTGTGTGTGTGTGTGTGTGTGTGTGAAAGTCCAGGGTTTACTTGAGAAGTAGACATAATGGTAAATTTTCATTGTTCAGACTCTGTAATGAGAACATGGAAAAAATGAGAAGCAATAGAAATTTCCATCTGAAACTAAAAGTGTTTAGGAATGTGACAGAATTTCAAACAGTTAAGGCTATTTAATGTAGATGACTGTTTATTCCCACACTCCTTTTCTAATTTCTACCCTTCCACCTTTAAGGTAAGAATTATTAGGCCATAAAAGAGAATTGAAAAAAGAAATATGGCTGTATAAATAAAGATTGAATCAAATTTTGTCATTTTGTTGTGACTTGAACTCTAAGGATTTGTAAAAAGCTAAGATTTTGTAGCACAAAGGCTAGGAAATTGTTAGTATACAGGTGAGCCTACGTGGTATGACACCTCCAGCCTGGGTTAGTCTTCAGAAAGTGCACTAGGCGTGCAGGTTGAACGCTGGTCAGCACTTGGGAACAGAATTCATCCTCGCCCTTTCTCCCCCCAAGAATACTAGAGCTATAGCTTAGTAACTTTTCTCTTTTCTTCCTGAAAAGTCAATATGGTCAGAGAGCACTCTTCTGACTGTAAACTTTACTCTAAAAAGGTATGTTATCTTGAAGCAGTAACTGTGGGTCAGAAGTCTTAGAATTCTGTTCCTGGTCTGTCTCATTTCCTTTCTGGTCCTCCTTCCTCTTCTGTATGGTTGAAATAGGTCATCTCTGAGGCTATCTCAAGCCTGGACAGTCTGGATTTCCAGTGGCAGGTGAACACTTAGACGCAGCCAAATCCAGCATGTTTTACCTTAATAGAAGAGGAAGGTTTTTCTTTTCTTTTTAGTTTTCTCTGGAAAAATGGTTGCTGTTTTAGTTTCATTACAAGAATCCTAGAATTCAAGTGTAATTTTTGTGAAACTCTGGAAACTATAGGGAAATAGCCTTTCATAAACTCCAGACATTTTTTTAAAATGTGAACCAGGTTTTTGTTTTTTTTTTTTTTGGCAGGCAGATGGACAGTGAGAGAGAGAGAGACAGAGAGAAAGGTCTTCCTTTGCCGTTGGTTCACCCTCCAATGGCCCCGCGGCAGGTGCGCTGCAGCCGGCGCACTGCGCTGATCCGAAGGCAGGAGCCAGGTGCTTTTCCTGGTCTCCCATGGGGTGCAGGGCCCAAGCACTTGGGCCATCCTCCACTGCACTCCCGGGCCATAGCAGAGAGCTAGCCTGGAAGAGGGGCAACCGGGACAGAATGTGAACCAGTTTTATGGTGTTTATTCCCTACGAGTGAGGGGGGGTCATGATGTTTGTTCACTCCCTGTCTATTTTGTGTTACAATTCAGTGTTAATTGACATTTAGAGCTATTACACTGGATTGCACCTATTAGTAAAAGTAGATCAGTTCAAAAACCTTTTGAAGTAACAATTTGAATGACATCTGTTCCCCAGCGCCACACTCCATAATTTCGTTTGATTACTTTTGCTTGGTGTGGCTGTTTCACCTTGCACAGTTCTTTATTGTTACTTTGTGCTTCCCAGTCAGTTTGTTAATTAGGACACACGTCATTAGGCCTGCTTCAGGGATAATTAGAGAGAATCAGGGCAATAGAGAGATGGGCCATAATAGGAAGCCATGAGTTAGGGTATCTTGAGTGCTAGTCCTAGACCTGTCAAATTAATGTTTCTTTGAGTGAGTCAGGTTAGCTTTTCTGAGTTAGTTGCCTAATCTTCATAAAATGGGGATTTTACTTGTGGCTTTACTGAGAAGGTCAAATGAAGTAATGGTTTTGAAAATACTTTGGGAGGTATGTGACAGCAACAATAGGCATAGCTTGCCTACAAGCTTACAGAGTTGGCGGCAGCACTAGAATCAATACCAGTATACATACAGCCTGGTACTGTGTTCAAAAGGCCAGCACCCACTTCGGGCAGAGTTTTAACATCGGAAATGAGTAGGTTTCCCTTCTCCGTTCCTCTGTATGTTTCCTGCTTCACTGAATTTAGGTACAATTCTGTTACCATTTTTCTTTTTAAATTTTTATAGTTTTCTTTTTTTATTTATTTTAAGGATTATCCATCCATTGGTTCAGTTCCCAAATGCCTGCAACAGCCAAGTCTGGATTAGGCCAAGGCCAGAATCCAGGACTCAATGCAGGTCTTTCACTTTGGTTGCAGGGACCCTGAAACTTAAGCTATCAGCTTCTGTCTACCAGATTGCACATTAACAGGAAGCTTGAGTAAGAAGTAGGGCTGGTATGTGAACTGAAACCCTGATAGGGGATGCCAGTATCCTAAGCAGTATCTTAACTGCTGTGCCAAGCACCTTGCCCCACTGTTAAGATTTTAGTGCTTGATTTGTTTTACTCATGATAACATATTTGTCCCTCTTTCTGCTTAGGAAATTTGTACATAGACTCTAGGCAAAATCTCCCTCCTTCAGTGATGCCACCCCCTGGTTATCCTCATATCCCACAGGCGCTAAGCACTCCAGGAACAACGATGGCAGGTAACATGTGTGTGTGCTGTAGTTGATACTCAAGAGTTTAATACTGAAAAAGCTTTAGTCATCCCAATATAAAAATGAGGCTGCCTCAGGAAGGAGTGGACTATCTGTCAAGGGAGTCTGGATGGCAGAGCCTGCCCAGCCACTTTGCTCTAGTGCTGGTGAAGGGGTTCAAGCTTCAGCCACCAAAGGCCTTTTTAGCCCAGGATCCTGTGATTCTAATTGGCCTGTCTCTGAGGTCCTGGGGCATAGAGCTATTGAAGAGTCCTAGGTATCTTTGAGGATATTTGACTTTAACAAGACTTTAGCAGGCTTCCAGAACCTTCTTTGGCTCCTGTAGAAACTCCTCCATTTGTTCAAGTCGAGTCCCCCAGCTTTAGTTTCCAGGAAAGTGCCTTTTTGAGGAGCTAAGTTTCTAGAGTTACAGGTTTATAAACTTTTTCTCCTAAGCTTTGAATGAAGGATAAGTTACATTTAGTCAGGGCGTTAGAGCACATTGTTAGAGCTGGTGGGGATCTTAAATATCACCTTGATTAGGAAATGGAGGTGCAGAAGGAGAGGACTTGCCCAAGCCACCTAGTTTGCTGAGTGAGCAAATCATAACTCAAGTCCCAGTGTCTTAATTCAGAGACCATTGTTTTTCTTGTATATTATAGAACCTTTAACCTATTTAAGGAAAAGACAAGGTGAGGTGGAAGGAGAGCTGTTAAGAGAAGTGTGCCAGGCAGTAATGAATGAATGGAGACCAAGTGACAAGTCCTTTGATGAATGAGAAAGCAATGTTATCTGTTGGCAGCACTCATTAGTAATTTGTTGGTGGCATGATATAGTGGTTAGGACTGGCCCAGCCACCTAACCCTTCTACCTTAGCTTCCCTGTCTGTAGAAGGGGTCTAAAAACACGGCCCAGCTCCTAGGAATATTAGGATTAGATGAAGATTACATGTAATTAAATCATGTAAATGAATACTTGATGCACAGTGAGGGATTGATATGTTTTTATTAAGAAAATAAAAAATACGGACATTTTCTACCATACTCTGTTAATTTAGAACCTTAGCATTTTTGTAAAAGTGTACACTAGAAGTTATAGATTTTATGAGAAAAGATTGGCAGCAGACTGCTTGAAATTTTATAATCAGAATAACAAAAATAGTAAAAATTCCACAGCAGTTAAAAAGATACACTTAATTTCTGGTAAAAGAATGAAATAACAACTGCATGTTAAATAAAAATGAAGCTGGTTTAGATTGGAGTTTGTCAGAATATAGGGGACAGGGGCAGAATGTACAGAATTTGGGGACTGCACACAGTTTATGGTCAGACTGATCAGGAAGAAGACCTTGGGGAGAAGGGCATTGTGCACTCAACTGTGTTCCTCTGTAGTTTACTGTATTCCACTGTGTTAATGTTCTTGGGGTTCACTGGCTATTAATTAACTTGATGGGGGAATTAAGTCCCATCCAGTGTGACTTCAGTGGTGCACTGACATTGTTCTGTTTACCCGTCTTATGTTGGCCAGTGTACCGTACTGAAACACGCGGTGGAGCAGAACAGACCCCCAGGGAAATGGTTGCAGCAGCGCTTTGCTAGGCCCTCCTTGCTACAGTCTTGTGTAATGGAGAGAACATGGGTTTTGGAGTCTGATGAACTGAGTTTAGATCTTATCTTTGCCTCATACCTATATGACTGGGTCACTTGCTCATCCCCTTAAGCCCTGTCTCCCTTACCTATAAAACGAGGGACATAAGAGCCACTTTGTTGAAGGCTCATGGGTGGATTAGTGAGATAATGTGTGCTGCATACGTGACACCTAGGAAGTACTCTGTAGGAGTGAGTTCATTTCTTCCTTTGAAGTCATTGCTGACGTTGCCTCCTTCCTTCCAGGTCATCACGGAGCCATGAACCAGCAGCACATGATACCTTCCCAAGCCTTCCAGATGCGGCGCTCGCTGCCTCCAGATGACATCCAGGATGACTTTGATTGGGATTCAATTGTGTAGGGCTTGTTTCTGTAAGACCCCAGACGCCAACATCACCTTTCTGTGCAGTGAAGGGAAAGGTCTAAGGGAATCCAATTGAGAAAACAGAGTTGCTAATCACTTTACCAATGTTACCATAATTTCTTTTGAAGACAATCAGAAAGATTTTAGCTGGATAACTTACTGCTTTTATCTGACCCAAACAAGTACTACATGTTTGTCTCCCTGCCAGCTGCCCCATGTAGCTCCTAACTGTTGTGTGATTTGGACAGCTTTTTGCATATTTGTGTCAGTTTGATGTTAACCACAAGTGCCAGACTGATTTTTCAGACAGAGCCTGTTTTGCTGCAAGCAGTTTATAGATACATATGTGTAAATGTATGTGCAAAAATGACAGAAAGGCTTCACTTTTTTCCTAATTGGACTGTGTCTTGGAAAGAAAGTTACTGTCAGTTTTTATTCCTTGTCAGTCTATTTCCTACAAGACGGTTATAACTGATGTATGGAACTAGATTTTTCCAAAGTCCAGTTTCCTCTTAATCTTTTTCAGAAATGTGGGAAATGAATTCTACCCAGTAAGTCAAGGAACCCAGAGTTTAGTGCTCTCCAGACAATCCAGAGGGGCATGTTCTTCCTGAGCAGCGTCAAGGACTGACCAAATTTGTTTTGAGGCTTGGGGATTATCCAGTATATGTTGTTCCTTGTCTGTCTGTTTTCCTAAATCTTTATTATAACAGCTCTAAAATTTGATCAATTAGAAGCTGGGCATTGCTTGCTTTTTTCAGCAAACCAATGCCTTCACATTCACTTATGTATTTATTATTCAAAAGTATTATTATAATATTTATTGCTACCTTCTGTGAATGCTCAGTTCCTCTTGGGTTTGTTAAGGAAGAATGTGGTATCCAGAAGTGCAGATAGTTTTTCTTGATAGAGTTTACAGACAAGACAATCAGAGGGACATTGTGTCATTCTCTTTATCATAACTTCTTTTACCACGTGAGTATATTTCTCTGTGTGAGCATTCTTGCTGATTGAGACTTAGTAGCTAACTAGGGTGTTTTCTGGAATTTGAATCAAGAGACCATTTGGGTCACAGAACAGCAAGGCAGTGTTTTTAAAGCAAATTTCCCCCGTTTAATCTTGTTCTACTAAGGTAGGACTGGAAAGGAGGATAGGACTACACATAGGTTTTGTTTGCCTCAGTCATTAAGTGGCCTGCTGGTTCTGTTGTCCTGGGTGTCTGGATGCATGACACTTGGTCACTTTCTTTGAAATGTAGCCCACCTCTTAGGGGTCTGTATTAGTTTCATGTCATATCAGTTATGTTGCATGGATTGATTGTATTAGCTTTATAATAATAAAACTAGAGGAAATGATTTTCTTTTCCTGATTATATATTGAATTGATTATTTAGACCAAATTTTTTTTATTCTAATGGAGAAACATGTTCCATCAAATCAAAGAGTAATAACTGCTTACTGGTTGCTTTTTAGCATTGCTGCTCTCTATCAGCCATGCTAAAATCAGTTTAATTAGCCTTAGTGGTTCTATGGTTGAGTAATGTCTACTTGAACTAAGCAAACATCTTTGTGTGTCTGTGTGTGTGTGTGTCTGTGTGTGTGTGAGAGAGAGAGAGAGAGAGAGAGAGAATGTGTTTGTGAATGTGTGTGTATTTTTTTAAAATGGAGTGTTGCCTTGAATGAATCACTGGGAAGCCAGCCATGGTAAGGGCTGGTGAGGTTGAGGAGAAAGGAAGAGCTTTATGTTTCTCTGTTATTTGGACCCTGTTTGGCATGAGAAAGGAGGTTCAGTTCCAGCCCCTTAGATGAGTGAAGATCAGTGGATTCTGGAAAGGCAGCCAACAGGCCCCTCTTAGGAGGATATGAGGCAGGATGAGATGGCAGCCTGCGGAGTGAAAGCTTGAAAAAAAAAGGGGACAGTTTCCAGTAGTCTACTCAAGTCACTGTTTTCTAGACACCAGGATCACAGTTTTGAAACTGTTTAAAATTGCTTGAGTAGCAATGTGCACTTTAAACAATTTGGGTAATGGAATGCAGTCTTAAGCTGAATAATTTGAACTTTTGAGTAGAGCCACTGATGATGATTTTACAAATTGGGTGAAGCTAATTTCCCATTTGGCAATCATTTACTAATTTTCAGTGATAAATATTTTTATGAATATTTAAACTTACCAAGAATGGCCCTGGAAGCAAAGCCTTCACCTGGACCCATTACACTATCCTGTGATCCACCTGACCTGGGAGCCCAGGACAGGCCTTCTCTGTGGGCGACAGCCAGCCTAGGCTACGTGGTGAGGTGCAGAGGTCCCTCTAGTGGCCATTTCGGTTGGTAGTGGTTCGTGCAGAGCAAGTTCTGTTTGGGGCCTAAATTGACTGAAGACCTGGGAAGAAGAAGAATAAATACGTGTAATCAGAGGGGGCACTGTCCAGGAGAATAATCCGACTGGCATTTGTGGCAGTTTTTGAAATGTAAATGTATTCATGGGTGTTCTTGTAAATAAGTGTCGCTCAGATGTCCTTTGAAGTGGGAGGGAATCAATCGGGGATAATTTGAAATGGAATAGAGTATTTTGATATTGTTCATTCAGAGGGTGATGTGTATATATCTATATTGTATATATGTGATGAAAATGCATTGGCTTTTTGTGCAAACACAACCTGCTCTCTGTACTGCTGTTGGACAGTCAGTGTTTTAATGTTTCTACAGTTTTGCTATTGCACGATTTCATATTTTGCCTCTATGATGAACGGCACCCATTCTTTGTAACTGTTCAGTGCTGTAAAGAAATATCCCAAGTGTCATTAGGATTGTTGCTGCCAGAACTGATATGCATGAATGGCACTTAAAATAAATAGATTATGTTAACTCTATTTACAACACCGATTGGTCTGGTCATTTGCTACAGTTGAGAGGATAAGACTGGAGCTAGTTCATATGTAGGAATCTCACAGGCAAGACCCCAGAGTCCTCGGGGTCCTTTCCATTTCTACCTCAGAACAGTAATTGGACACTTATTGGACATTTATTGGACACTTCACTAGCTCCGTGAACCTGGGAAATTATTTAATTTCTCTGAGCCTCATTTTCCTTTTTTATAGTGCATATAAAATGAGGAAAATTCCTGTTCCCCAGATTCTAATGGGACCACACGGACATATTTGAGCATTTTAGACCGACACCTGGAATGTAAATCATACTGGTTCTCAGTGTGTACTGGGTGCTGTGCTGGACAGATAAAATGATCTTCATTTTACAGATTTTGGAACAACTCAGTTGGAGATGTGGCTTGTCTGGATCCTTCAGTTGTCAAGTGATGGCTGAAGTCTGAATCCAGGTATTTTTTACTTCAAGCCTAGGATTCCTCCATCGTCTTTGAGCTGATCCTCTCACCCCAAGGTAATTCCCCTGTCCCTTCCACCACTCATGCTCTAGTCCTATCCCTAGCGCTACCTTCCCGCAGAGCCAGGTGAAAGTAGAGTTTAACATTCGCTGAGCATGTGCTGTGTCAAATTCCCTCCCATTAGAAATCCAGAGATGAGAAAGCAGCAGCCCCTGCAGGCTTGCCCAGGAAACAGGTAGCATATGCCAGCCTGGGGAGCTGGGGCAGAGAGCCACTCTGGAGTATCCCCTGGCAAGGCAGGATTCTGATGGGGAGACATTAGGTCACGCTGAGGAGTTGAAGCAGTGTTTAGGAAGGCTTTGCGAATGGTTATGGGCTGTTGAGGTTGAGTCTTCAAAGAGTCCCAGACAGACAGGAGGGCGATTTCCCATTTGTACCACTGTTTTGAGCCATGTATGGGAGCTAGATTGGTTTGGGGGTTGTGGGTTAAGGTGGGGGAAATGTGCTGCTCGTTGAGAGCCAGCATAGCATTTTCTCTGAGCGTGGTGCTGTCCCAGTTTCATTGATGTGGAAACAGGCTCAGAGAGGCCAAGCAGTGGGCAGACCAGTAACACTGGTGAAAGTGAAATTGAACCTGGAACCTGTCTCGCTCAATGAGTGTTTCTCATTTAACCCACAGAAACACGTACTTATTACTGTTTTACAGATGAAGAAATAGATTAGCAAGGTTACCTTGCCCAAGTTCTCACAGCTCATCACGGATCTGGGATAATCAATCTGGGTCCATTTTCTTCTACCCCTACTGTTTTCCAAAAGAGGAATTTTCTCTGTCCCCTCCCCTGTGTGTGTGTGTGTCCTTTGGTGGGAGGGCAATGCTTTTGCTGCCATTACAGGTACATTCTGGTCACCATCAGTACCTCTGATGGACCTCAGTGGGGGGTCAGTTGAGTCTGGTCACCTTGTGCTGGTTCAGATGCACCTATCCTAATCAAATACAAAAAAAAATAAAAATAAAAACCAAGATCATTCAAGTGTATGTTCCAGCATGTCACTATGTGAAGGGCTGCTACTTATCGAAGTGATCCTTATCAGTGGGCAAAGCAGTCCTGGGCAAAGCAGAGCTACCCTACAAGCTTCCAGTTGAAAGAGGCCTTAAGAACTCGTCTCATACAGCCCCCACGTTGTGTTTTTGAGACTGAGGCAAGGGAGTAGCTCACTAAAAGTCCCACTGTGACTGAGGGAAAATCTGGGCAAGGGGAGTGGGGAGTCATGCACCAGGCAGTGGGAAGTGCTTATCCACACTGTTCTGTTTTGCCTACACCCTGACCTGTTGATGGCAGTGCCCTGTTGTACAGGAGACACCACTTCGGAAAGGAAGGCAGAGGGGATTTGGATCATGAATGCCTTCAATCAAAGCATACAAATTCAGTTACACAGGCTTGGCTAAAAAGAGAAAGAAAGGAAAAATTGAATATTACAGCAGAGTAATATGCCAGATGTCCCCGAGGGAGTGTGAGAAGAAAGATTGAATCTGAGACCATAACTGGTACCTGTCTCTGTCCCTCTCCACAGAGCATCTCACCTCTGAGCATGACTCGCATGGAGAAAGGGACACGTTTTTTGTAGAACGTTGTCCTTTGGTGTGAGTCAGCTAGGTAAGCCGATTGGGCCTTAATGAGCTGTGTTTCTCCGTGGCATTGGCACCTTACAAAAGAATTTTCAAGGATGACTTTGTACTTAACCTTCTTACACTCCTCCCTCGGTATGTGACTGGTCAGCAGGTGCACAGACTTGGTAATTGGCTGCACCAGAACCAGAAATCAACCTTAGGTCAAGGCTGGTTGCTACTCCCAACTGTTAGGTACTTGTTATTTAGCTGATGCCATTTACGATCCTATCTGCCCTTGATACTGTTATCACCAGCCTTGCCTTGTTTAGCCAATGGAGCATCTGAGCCATAGAGTGTTACTTGCCTGAGGTCATCCGCTTGTAAGTGGTAGAGGTAACAACAGCCGCAACAGAGCTGGGGTTTTACACCTAGGACATCCAGCTCCAGCATCTGCATATTGAACCAGCACCCTGCTGCCTCAGGTCTTCACTGTTCCCTGAGCTGAGCTACCAGGCTGAGAAGCAGGGCCTTGGAACAAAGCTGGAGCCTCTCCCGCCGTGAGGCTGCAGTAAGCACCTGTGACCACCAGAGGGCAGGGCTGTCAGCTGCCTGCCTTTCCTCTTTGGAATGCTTCCCTTACCTGGGGGCTCTTTGCCTTTCTCTGCAGCCACCAGGGGATCAAGATCTTTGCGCTTCTCCTTCAGAGGTTGCTAGAGGAAGCCAGTGAGCCCCTCTAGTGCTCAGCTGCAAACATGCAGCTGGGGGTGGGGGGCTCCACACTCCCTCTGCCTTCCTGATGTATCCTGCTCCCCTGTTCTAAGGTCACGCCACCATGAGCGTCAAACTCTCAAGTCCCCCAAGGCTCTGCTCCTCCTCTGGGACCAGCTGAGGTGGGGACTGGCATTGTTTGGACAGACATGGAGGGGGCCGCGGTCAGGCCAGCCACACACCCTGCCCTTGCCAGCCCTGCCTCTGCGCCTGAGCGGGCTGTGGCATCTCCACACACTCACGTGTTGTCACCTCCTGTGGCGCTCACAAACATAATGATTATTGCCACCATTTGCCGGGTCCCTACCCGGTACTTGACAGCCATTATCTGAGTGAGCACTCCCAGCTGCCTGCGAGCTCGGTGCCATTATCTGCCTTTTACTGCTGGGCATTGCCCCCAGAGAGGTCTAGTGATTTGCCCAAGGTCACAGCTAGTGAGAGGGAAGAGGACAGGAACGCAGATCAGCCTTGATTCGCCTGCGCTTCCCGCTGACGCTGATTGCATCTTCCACAACATTGACCTCCCTCGGCTCACCCCACCCCAGAACCAGCTGAACTGACATCACTGGGTAAATGATGCCTCTCTCACCAGCCCCCAGAGGTCAGGGGGCAGCTTCCTGTCCCAGGCGATGGCAATAAAGGCGTCTGAGGACACTTCCCACCCTTGGCGCGTCCGAGTGAGGTTCAGAGGCAGGAGCAGGAGCAGTCCTCCGGTTCCCTGGGAGGGTGTGCACTTGTGTGACTGACCAAGAGCCCGCAGGTGTGTGCTTAGGTGATCGTGGGTATGTGACCATAGCCTTGGAGAGTAGGACAGGGACTCTGTGTGCGTGTGTGTGCGTGCGCACACGCCACAGATACCAACAGGAGGCAGGGGGTGGGCCTTAGGGAGGATGACCTCACTCCGATTGGGTGGCTTCTTAGTCCTCCCCCAAGACAAACTTTCCTGGGATCAAGCTGGTTCCCAGGCGCTGTGAGTCACACACACTCCTCTTTTCTCATCACATCCCTGGCTTGTCCCTCTCGTTGCTCCCTTGTACTGTGTCCTCTGAAGGGACCCTGGTCTGGCCGTGTACTGCAGGTGGCCCCTTCCTACTGCACTCTGCTTTCTCACCACCGTGGAGCCTGTCCCCTGTGAGTTGCTCAGCCTCTGGTTGAGCATGGTTCCCGCAGGCCTCCAAAATCCAGTACAATGCTTGAGGCAAGGGAAAGCGGACTTTGGAGTTGGGAGGACACGATTCTGTTTGGGCCTCAGTGTCATCTGTGATATGCAGGGCAAACACCTCCCCTCAGCCCTGTGGAAGCCATCGCCAAGCAGTCCATCAGGAAGCAGCCAGTGTGGGGGCTGGCACGCGGTCCCGAAGAGTGGCCTTCCCTTCTCCATCTCCTGCCTCCTTCTGGTGCCCCAGATCCCCTTGGAGCACTGCCCTTCTCTGGGACCAGCGCAGCACTGGGACTAGACAGCTGGCACTCAGCACCAGCTGTGTGGGGGCTCTTTCTGAATCGCAGCTCCGAAGCCGCCTGAGGTTCCCACCGTCACCAGGTTAAGGACAAAATTCTTAGAGTGTCTGATGGCTCACCCCCAGCGCCTTGCCGACCCACTCTGTGTTAGCCCAGTGCTCCTTGCTGCTCTGTGCTGCTGTGACAGAACACCCCCAAAACGAGGAACTGCACTAAACGGGGGCTGCCCACCCAATGCACAGCAAGCCAGTCGCTGACACTGGGGTGGTAGAAGTCTCTTTTAGAGTTTATTTTGCAACACGCAGAGCAGGGAGTCAGTTCAGTTCCCGAACTCCCTGAGGACTGAAAGGCAGTGACTCTTAGAGATGAAAGTGGGGTTTCAGTCATGTGTGGGCCCTGGTTGGTCCACAGTGTTCCTGGCCTGCCTTTGAACAGTGATCGGGCCGACACATTTCGTTTGAAATGGCAAAGGTGGGCTCTGGGTTAGTGGGGAGATGGAGCATGACATTGCTCATTCGGGCACTGTGAGCTGCTGCAAGCTCTCAGAATAGGAGCTGGCATTGAGATGTCAACTCTCAGAGCCATCTGAGTCTGTCATCCAGGGTCTTCCCCTTGTCTCACTCCCTTAAGGTCGTGAGTTAACCCTTGCAGACCCTGGGCCAGGTCGAGTTCACATCAAAGGCGTTAGGGCCAGGGGCTCGGCTGCACGTCCTGTACCCAGGCCTCTGCCTCAGAGTTCCCTCCTCCGTGCCTCCAGATCTTCCCGTCACAGACAGCTTCACGTGCCGCCTCGGCTGGCAAGCAGTGCCCCGCCCAGTGCTGGGGGTGTTCTCTGGCAGAAGCACAGATGGGCAGAGAAAGACTTTAAATGCCGGGCTAAGGGGTTTTGCCCCTTAACCCGGCGCAGGCCGTGGGAGGCTTCAGAGCAGGGTGACCACAGGAAGAGCTGTGATTCAGAAAGACCCCCAGGGCGTTAGTGCATTCTTGGACCTGGCACCCCAGGCTTACCCCTCCCATGGCTCCCAGTAGGTTCCCCGCAGTGCCCCCGTGGATCTGTGCCCGTGTCCTGGCCTCCAGCTAGCCGAGGGCCCCTGGATGGCCAGGACAGACAGGGGGTGGGGCAAGGAGCAGACAGCAGATGGACAATGGGGCCTCCTGGTACCTGGCGGGCCACAGGGGTGTGAGATGACGTTGCCAAGCAAACAACCAGGCACACCCTCTGTCCACTGCCCAGCTGGCCCTCCAGACCATCAAAGGCTAGAGCCGGCCCCACATGGGGCCTGGAGGGAACGCCAGGATCCCTCTCCCCCGGCCTGGAGTTGGGCTTAAGCCAGCAGACTTCAAACCCTCAGTCCCGGTGTTACACGGACCACTCCATTTCGGTGGTTCTGTCTCCTCTCTGCAGTGGGGCTCAGTCAGTGGCCACTCCTTTCTTCTCCCCCTTCCCTAGGACAAAGGAGCTAGGAGTTTGGAACCAGGAGGACGGTGCGGGAGGAGTCGGAGTTGAGAGAACTGGGTTCTGTTCTGGAATTTGTGGCTGTGTGACCACAGCGGCCATCAAGTCCACCTGCCGTTGAATCTAGAAAAACCACGCTTTTCTCTAGGCCAAGGCAGTCCTGTGCTTGTACTCACAATTATTTACACTCTATCGGCCAGGTACCCTTGGCCAGTGCACAACCAATACGTCTGTCCCCAGCAGCCCTGTTTGATTTCTGAGGCTCTGAGCTTCAGTTTACCCATTTGTGAAACGGGGTTATACAGTTAGTTCTTTGGCTTTCCCAGAGCTGTCAGGTCTATGTGCATTTTCATGTCTGGCTCAGAGAGTTCTAGGTTCTCATAGGAACAGGAAGTTGTTGCACTCTGAAATGTGTTTACAAGTAGGATGAGGAGCTCACTCAGATCGGTGTTGGAGTTCCCCGCTCCCAGCTGGCTCTGTTCCAGGCCTTCCTGCGGAGGTGAAGACAGGGACTCTGAGCCTGCAGGCAGGCAGAGCCAGGCCTGGGAGGACCGAGCCTTGGTGCTCCCGACCCTAAAGTGGCACCGGCACCACCAGGAAGTCACTTAAACAGAGTGAACAACGCGGCGGCCTCGCAGAGGCCAGGGGCTGCCCAGCAGCAGGCAGAGCCCCCGCAGCCTCCAGCATGGGGGTGCAGGTCGGGAGGGTGGGCTGGGCTTTTCCATACCCATGAAGCAGCCCCCAGAGCCTGGCACAGGCAAACCTTGCCACAGGTCAGCCACTGTTGTTGATGTTGGGATTGTTACACCATGACCTTGGTTCCAGAAAGACTCCTCCGTGGCACTGATTCACTGCCGGCCCCGTGGCGAGTACTGGACTCCCACAGTCTCGGCTCTCGGTGGCTCCCGGGCTAGTCACCAGGTGGACAGTTGAGCCAGCACGTTTTATGATGGGAGAGGTGCTGGAGCACACAGCAGTGGACGTGGTCTTAACCCAAGCTCACTGGGGCTGGGATCAGGGAAGAGAATTTTCTAGAAAGTCAAAAACCTACAGGGCTGGTGCGGTGCAGCAGTTTAAGCTGCTGCTTGTGACACCGGCGTCCCATACGGGAGTGTTGGTTCAGTCCCGCTACTCTGCCTCCCATCCAGCTCCCTGCTAATGCACCTGAGAAAGCAGTGGAGGATGGGCCCGGGCCACCCGTGTGGGAGACCAGGGTGCGGTTCCTGGCTCCTGGCTGTTGGAGCCATTTGGGAGTGAACCAGTAAATGGAAGATCTCTTTCCCTCACTCTGACTTTAAATAAGTAAATAAATCTTAAAAAAAAAAATTACAGAAGGTCTGAGACCTGCAGTGCAGCTGCTGTCGTCCCCGTTTTCTCAGATGCAGAAACTGGGGTGGAGAAGGGTTACCCAGCTTTTAAATGCGGCCGCTGGATTCTACTCCAGGGCTGCCTGGCTCCACTCTGCAGGTCTGGGCCCTGCTTCCTGGAGGGTGCTTTGGGCTCCTGGTTGGGTGGTGAGCTCAGCTGGGACCTGACCACGGCCGGGCAAGGGGGCCTGGCTTCCGTGAGGGCTGCAGGCAGGGCGGATGGGCTCTCGGTTAGCGAGCAGGGGTGGCGTGGTGGGTGGTGAGGCCAAGCCACCTCGGGCCCACGCTCTACCTGCACAGGAAGGAGGAAGGTGTGTGGCTCTGGGAGGACCCCAAGGCCCAGCTCCCTGCAGCTTCCGTGCAGGCTGTGGTGGTCCTGTGTACCCTGGAGAGGAAGGAAGGGGGCCTTGGAGGGAGGCAAGGGAAGGAGAGTTGGTTCCCATTTCCCAGAGCGGATGTCAGAGTGCGGTTGGGTAGGGCAGGACCCAAAGGGCCAAGGCCCAGGGCCTCGTGCTCTTCCCCACAGCGTGTACATCACTCCTGCAACTCCCACCCCCTCCGCCCCTGCCTGACTCCAGGAGAGCCCCGGCCAGGGGGCTGGGGGAGAAAGAAGCTTCGGGAGCCCAGACCCTCTCCCCTTCCTTCCCAGCCCTGTTCTACCGTGGAAGAAGAAAGGCTGAGAAGCAAAGTAGTTTTCAGAAGGGCTCCTCCAGCCCGCAGAAGTGCTGCCCAAGCACCGTCCTTCATGAAATCCAATCCTGACCCCACTGTAGCCTCGCACATAATCCCAGAGCCAACCTCCATCATAAACCCAACCCCAACCTCTCCCCCACCTTCAGCCGCAAACTCAGTTCCAATCCCAACCCTACAAAGAACCCCAATCTAACCCCAAACCAACCCTGACGTCAGTTTCAACCTCCACATCCACCTGACCCTAACTGTACCTGTTAGGGACCAGCACTTTGTACCCAGGAGACGCAGAGAAAGGAAACTGACCTCCAGACCGGAGGGGCTTTATTGTAAGCCAGAGAGGGGCGCCACCTCAACTGGACAGACCCCAGGGAAGATGGCGCGCCCCTGCCGAGGGGTGAGGGCCTTAAGTAGGGCTGGGGAAGGAAGTGAAGCGATAGGGGATGGAGTGAGTCCATCAAAGGAGGTGCAGAAGTTCCTGGCCCGGGGCAGCTGGTTCCGCATTCCGAGTTTTACGGTTGGGGGGAAGAGGAGGAAGGGGAAGTATTACGACAGCAGCTTTAAGGTGGGGGCTGTTTGCTCAAGTCGGGTAATTTCCCATCACTCCCGACTGTAAAAAGGTTTAACAAGGAGTGGGGGTGATGTCAGCTTCCTGCTGGTTGGGGGGGCGTGGCAAGGAGCGAGGGTCCCTCAGTGTCCGAAGGAGCAGCGTGAGAAGCAGTTTGGGAAGTGGCAGTCATTCAGGCGATTAGGAACTTCTGTAGCAGGTTGACAAAACACGGAAGAAAGGTTAGAGGCAAAACTACACCACAAGGGGCGTGAGGAGGTGGGAGCCAGGTGGGCTGTTTCCAAAGATGGTGGCAGAGCCCCCTGACCCTGACAAGGAGGCTGCCTGCTCCGGGAGTACGACCGCACCGGACTTGTTAACGAAGAAGCAGCATTGCTCCCCCAGGAACGAGCGTGGTGGAAAGGTTCAGGCCTCGACAGCTTTGGAGAACTGCTGGTACCAGAGGATCGCCTGGTCCTGCGGTCGCTTGTCCGAGAGGCTGCGTTGGCTGGGGGTTCTCTGCAGGCTCTGGATAGCGTTCGAGCTGGTCTAGGGAGGTTCCTAAACCAGTAGCTGCGGTGTTGCCCCGTGAGGACTCTGAGAGTGGCAGGGGTGTGGAGGATCGACTCGTCCGTGGTGTAAGGTGGTGGTGGTGGGGGGTAGATAGGTGAGGGTACAGGTCTCCGTCCAGTAGGAAGGAAGGCACAAGGAAGTCGGATTCCTGTAGGCAGAGTACTCCCCTGACAAAAGGCAGAGGTGGCGAGAGAGCTCAGGCGGGGGTGGCAGGAGGTGTCTGTGGTGTATATGGGACGGGGTGGGTGGAGGTCAGGTTTGCCCAATCACCGGTTGACCCGCCCGTGGTTGGGGAATGGGAGTTTGAGAGCCGTGGGGGCATGTATAGCGTGACTATATGCCCATTGGATGAGCCGCTGAGAATGAGGCCCTGGTTATGCACAAAGGGGCCTGTTCCGGGGTGCGGCCGGGGCGGGGGAGCTTGGCTGCACTTCCAGTGACTGACACGGATTCCTGGGATGTGGGGGCAAATAGGTTAAGTGGTTGGGGGAATGGTGTTAGATTGGGATTGTCCGGCTGAAAAGGCTGGCTGTCCCTTCTTCTAGCAGGCAGGAGAGGCCCAGACATTGTGGGGAACGGGGCTGAGGTGGAGGCTCAGGCACAGAGCCAGCACGGGGCCAGGAGGGATGCGGAGCGTTGAGGACGGGCGGTAGTGATGGCGCAGGCTGGCCAGTGGAGCGGCCAGGTCAGAGACGGCCGAGAGCAGTGCAGCGTCCTCCCCAGGGGAGCAGCGAGCACCAGGAGGAGCTTCTCACCACTGCTCCAACAGCTGGGGGTGACCGCGCTCGGCGCTCGGCGCTCGGCGCTCTCCAGGAGTCGGGCTACGACTGCGACCAGGACAGAACCAGAGAGCCAGAGACCATCTTCCAGAAGGAGGTCGGGAAATTGTCAGTGAAGTGGAAGGGTGGAGTGATAAACGGAGGGGGAGGCTGGTTTAAGTCTCAGCAGATGGACCCAGGGTGGATAGGCCTTTCATTTAGCTGCCGTGGGTGTAGCCATGATGACGTGTACAGTCCCGTCCATTTGGGTTGTAGGGACGTACCAGGCTTGGGAATGCACAGGTCAATGGAATTGCCTATCTTGATGGAAGAGTGGGGACCAGTGAGGGCAGGGGTGAGGAAGGCGTGAATCTGAGTGGGCCCAGGGCGCTGCCTCGATGTGGGACAGGAGAGGGTGAAGCTGAGGGGGAGGCGGGGTGGAAGGGGGCGAGGGCAGGAATCCAGGGATGAGGAGGGGCCAGCCATTGAGGATGTCGAAGGGGCTGAGTATAGGGGTTTTTCAGGCATGGCCCTCGGGGTAACAGTTTGATCTGTTCGAGCTGTGTCTCCAGGGCCGGTTTGATCAGTGTTTTTTGTGACCTGTTAGTGCATTCCACCTGCCCTGAGGACCGGGGATGATGTGGAATATGGGATTTGCAAGGCATCTGGAGCAGCTGGACTACCAGGTGTGTTGGAAGTATGGCCGCATTGATTTTCCTAAGGTCCTGGCCGTTAGGCTTTTTCACCCCTAAGATGGGAATGTTATGTGGTGAGCAGGTGGGGTAAGCAGATATGATCAGAGAAGCTTGAGTCCCAGAAGCGTGGGTGGGCGCAGGGGGTATTGAGATGTGGTGATGTAAGAGGCTGGGTCTTTCAGGGAGACTGAAATAGGCTCTAGTGAGAGAAACCCTGGGGGCTGTGTGTCCTAGGCAACAGGGTTGATGAGGGAGTGGTTTAAGTCAAGGTTGCAGAAGGCTCAAGGAGTGGTTGCCCATTGTCCCTGGCCTGTTGTGCCAGGAATGTGGTTGTGATATTTACGGGGGACTACAGAGGGATGCTCCCAGCTTCCAAAGAAAGTCTCGTGCCAGGAGGGCCAGCGCACGTGGGGGCAGAACTAGAAAAGAATGAGTGAGGATCAGGTCTCCGAATGTCCAGAGAACGGGTGGGGTAGTATGGGGATAGCCTTGCCTGAGATTCCCAGGATAGGGTGGGAACTGATATTAGAAGGGCCACGCCACTCAGTAAGAAGGGAGAAAGCCTCCCTGGTGCCACCCACCAATGGAAAGGGGCAGGCAGCCACAATCCCTGTGGTCAAGGCTCTCTGGACACATGGCTGTAAACAGTGGGGTAGGGGGAGCCTAGGCCTCCTCATTCTAAGAGCTGAGCATAAGGGAATCTGCCGGTTCTGTGGGCTGAACTGAAGGCCTGGGTGCCCAGTCCTGGGGGCAGCCCACCTTCCAATGTCCCCCCATCCACAACGCGGCCACGCCTTCGAGGGAGGCCCAGGGTTTCGGCAAGCCTTTGCCCCGTGGCCTGCATTGCCACAGCGGAAGCACACACCAGGAGGGCTTTGGGCTGGGAGTCCTGATTGGTTTAGAGCTTTGTGGGTTTAAGGCGGGCTGGAGGAACTGGTATTTGGTTTTCAAGGGTCTCTCCTTCTCCCGTTTGGCCTTGTCCTCCCTATTACTAAATACTCAGAAGGCAACATTTATAAGTTCCTACAGGGGAGTTTGGCATCCCTGTTCTAATTTCTGGAGTTTTTTCTAGTGGCTGGGCCAATTGAGAGTTGCACAGTTGTGAGAAGAGAGCGCCTGCAGGCGTGCGGAGATCCAGGCTGGTAGACTCAGGAATGGCTTCTGTGAGCCAGGCTGTGAGAGGGGGTTTTCACCAGAATCCCGGGTGACTTCCCGGCTCTTATCATAACTGACTTGACCATGGGAATTTTTACCATGCCACCTTCTTCTTTTTATAAGATTGTTTATTTGAGAAGGAGGGAGGAAGGGGGAGAGAAAGAGAGAGAGAGAGAGATCTACCCACTGGTTCACTTCTCAAATGGCTTCAACAGCCAGAGCTGGGCAGAAGGCCGCTGGGTGTAGGTTCATGTTTTGTTTGTGCTTTGTCAGCATGTTCGCAGGCTGCTTGCCAAAGTGGGCCCGCTCACCGGGAGTGAGTGTGCAATGTCACATATGAAGGGTATCTGACCAGGTGCAGCGGGACACCTGGGCCACACCATGGGGCTCCTTTCAATTATTTGCTGGATTCCTGGAGGAGCAAAGCCAGTCCTCGACATGGGACATGGGCATAGGAAAAGGAGCGTGGACCTGGACGCTGCCTTCCACTCTCACTACCTCCCGGAGGGGGAACATATGGAGGGGCTGAGTCTTGGAATGGGGGGCGGGCAATGGGGTGGAGGCGGAGGCGGAGGTGGAGGGGGCAGACCTAGGAACCGAATCCAGAAGAAGGGTGGAGGGTGGAGGGCAGAGCGGGGGAAGGGGCAGAAGAGCCATAGGGAAGGGGTTCATCCGCCGGGTCAGGATCTGAAATGGAAGAGGGGTAGCCTGGGGATCAGGGGTCTTGGGCATGTGGCTTTCCAGAGTCTCTGCAAGGAGGAGCTGGAACGTGGAAGTGAGGAACAAAGAAGACGGCCAAGGTTGGGGCTGAAGGTCCTGAATTCAAGCCAATGATTCTGATTGTCCAGTGACTATCTTGGCCAAATTTGGAGGCAAAGGAGTTTTTTGGCCTTGAGGTCAGCAGCTAACCCTGGAGTCCCACGGTTCTGCAAAAGGCAACCTGAGGACCGTCAGAGGGAACAGACTGTTCTGGTCCCACGGTGCTGGCGGGAAGGGCGCAGCCACCTTTCCTGAGGTGGCCCTTGGTCCAGGAAGTGCCGAGACGGAAACCTGGGGAGTGGCTGAGCATCCTCCGACCCCTGGGGTCTGATCTGTGAGAGAGATATCTACCCCAGGACACCACGGGGAGAGAGGAGGCCGCTGCTGGAGGCCAGTGATCAGGTGGTGAATGGGGAGAGCAAGAGGGGAGGGAGCAGACCTGGGAGCAGGGAGGAGAGTGAACTGGGGCCTCCCAGAACGCCAGCAAGAGGCCCGAAAGGGTCTCCGCCCCGCTCAGTAGCCGTTCCCTATCATAGAGCAACCAGGCTCGGGGTGTGTACCAGTCGCCCTCTAGCCAAAGTGAGCACGGGGCATTTGACGGAGTCCTCGCAGCACTCGACAGACCAGGCCAAGAGGAGGTCCTGGGCTTGGCCAGGGTTCGACCCTAAATGTTAGGAGCCGGCATTTTGTATCCAGGAGACATAAAGAAAGGAAACCGACCTCAACCAGACAGACGGAGGGAAGACTGCGCACCGGCTGAGGGGTGAGGGCCTCATCCCGAGCCAGGGAGGGAAGTGAAGCCATAAGGGCTGGAGTGAGCCCGTCAGCGGGGGTGCAGAAGTTCTCCTGCCCCGGCAGCCGGTTCCGCATTTCGCGTTTTCCAGTTGGGGGAGGAGGAAGGTGAAGTACTAGGACAGGACCCCGGCTTTAAGGTGGGATTGTTTGTTCAAGTCTTTGTGATTTCCCAAGTGTCCCCAAGTCTTTACACCAACGTCCTGTCCGAACCTCAGCCCCACACCGGAACCCCAACCCAATTGGAATCCTAATGTGAACTCCTCTCCCTAACTGCTGGGGAACCCCATGCTGATCTTAGGCCGGCATTCACCATCCCTGCCCCTCCAGTCCACCTAAGCCCCATCCAGTTCCAGCATGGCTCTCAGCCTCAGCCATTGCCTTCCCAGCCCACTCCACCCACCCCTGCTCGAGGCTCCCTTTCCTTCCCCAGTCACCATCTCATTCCTACCCCAGCTATTGGAGGCCGCCACAGGACTCACTGGACTGAACTTGCAAACCTCGGCCAGTGTATACACACACACACACACACACATACACACACACATCTCAATGCACTCTGAGCACACAAGGTGCACACACAACATGCACACACTTCTCAATATGCACACACATGAACTCACACCAGTGTGCACATGCATGCACACACCTCAGTGTACACATACACACAGCCCTCACTGCACACGTATGCATGCATGTGCACACATGTGTATACACACCCCGGTGTGCACACCAGTGCACAGCGCACACACACACCTAGTGCACACATGTGCATACACACCCAGTGCACACACATGCACATGCAATCATATATACTTCAGTGCACACACATAGACCTCATTGTCACGCACATGCACACACACACCCCTTGTGGGGTATATACACTCATACCTCAGCACACATACATGCTCTCTTTGGTGTACAGACATGCCCTGTAGGGGATCACACACGCACCTCAGCAGGTACAGACATACTTTGTTGTACTTGTACACATCCCAGTGTATACACACACACACACACACACACACACACGAAGGGGAGGGGAGTCCTGCCAGGCTCTGAGGACTGGCCTGCGAGGTGGACCAAGCGTTTCCTGCCCCACCCTGTGGCTAGGCCCCTTAGGAGCTTCCTGCCCCGCCAAGTCCTTCAATATTGACTCTCCTCCCTCCCTCAGCATCCCTGCCCACTGCCTCCCTGGAGCTGGCCTGGCACCGGCCAGGGCTGGAGAGGAGCAAGGCAGAGGGCCTTTCTCCCGTGCCGTGGGGAGCTCTGCAGGCCTTGAACAAACAGCGAACACACGCGGTGCTGAGGGCACGGTCCTGGCGGGGTTCAGGGTCCGAGGGTTGCAGGCTTATACCAGCTCCTCCCACTAGACCACGCGTGCTGGAGGGCACTGCGCCTGCAGGGGCCTGGCGTGGGGAGCGGGCGGAGCTCAGGGAGGACCCAAGGCTGCAGGATGGGCAGGATGGGGCCAGCAAAGGGTGAGGGCAGGCAGCGGCTCAGCAAGGCAGCGGTGGCCAGAGGAACCTGTGGGGACCAGGAACTGCCGCTCCTGCTGCTAACGATGGTAACGACCGGAGGACGCCTCACCCAGGGCTTTCTGTGCACCCAGCATCAGGGTGAACAGTCTAAAACCTTCTCTGAGACTCAGAGAGGGGAAAACATTTGCACAAGTTCACACACCTCAGAACAGGCAGGAGGTGGGACTTGAACCCAGTTCCTCTTTAAAGTCGCGGGAGCCGAGCCTGGTCCCTACCTCAGCTCGAAGTCTCAGCTCTCTCATTCCAGGGTGTCTTTCTAACCCCTCCCTTCCCCAGGCTGAATAACTCAACATTTCCCTGACTATCCCAGTCCCTAACACCCTCGGCACAAAATGACCTTGAACCCCGGTTCCTTCTCTGAGAACACTTGCTCTCGTTCTTCAGAACTCGGCGCTGGCACAGCCTCCTTGGGAAAACCTTCCAGAACCGCCTTGCCCGGGACTGTATGAGGTGGCCCCTCCTCACCGGGGCAGCAAATCCCCCCCACCCTGCCCCACTATCCCAGGCTGTCCGTCTGGCCCCTTACCTCCCTTGTCAAGGGCAGGGCAGGGCCTGCAGGCCCTATACCAACCAGCACATGGCCTGGCTGGGGGTGACCACAGGACCCAGCCTGGTGCCCAGGGAGGGGCTGGGGGCTGACCTCTTCTCTTAGCCTTATCTGATCCAGAGGCCGGATGGGCGAGCAGATGAGATGCTGACAAAGGCTCTGGGTTACTCAGTAACCCTGCCTGCTTTAAAAGGCCCCCTGCTCTGGCTGCCACAGCCAGCTGCTCCTCTCCTCAGCCACCTGCTGCCATGAACACCTTCCTGCTCTGCGGACTGTGCCTCCTCGGGGCCTGTGCCACCCTGGTGGAGGGGGTCACCGTGCAGGTAAGGCCCCAGCCCAGCCCTGCGCCCAGGCGCTCCATGGACCTGGCCCCAAGGGAGTGGGGGCGTGTCTGAAGCTTGGCCTTCTTGGGGGACTCCCTCCACCCTGTAACTGTCCCTTCAACCTGGGAGGAGCTCAGGAAGAGAGAAGAGAGAGAATCATTTGGGAAAGGCCAGCAATTGGGTATCTTGTGATTGCACCACCGTGCCCCAGCCCGCACCATTTACCACTGGAGAGAGGCCCCGGGCGCAGCAGCTTGCTGCCGAAGGAGCTGGATTGGACTTCAGACCCTACTCCTCTGACCTGCGCTCCGCCAGAGCATCTGCCTGGGTTCCAGGAATGTCAGGGACATCTTACAGGTGTGCCCGCAGGTGCGACACCGCCGACAGGCCAGCCTGGCACTCAGCAGGGGCCCGGGAGGCCTTTTATTGCATCTCAAATGCCAGGTCGCAGGCCCGTGCTGAGGCCAGAGGATCCGCTGGCGCTGCTGTCAGGCAGTGGGGAGCCGAGCTGCCCAAGGCCCTGGGCCCACGCCTGGCCCCGCGTCCCTGGGGGATGCGGAACCTCACGGCCACAGCGCAAAGCCCGAACGGGAGCGACGCCTGGCTCCGCGCCCCGGCCTCACCCGCTGCGGGGCTCCCGTCCCCCACGCTCTGCGCCCCAGGGGCTGCAGTGGCCCGGGCCAGGGGCCGCGCGGGACCTCAGGCCGCCTCACGCTCTAACCTGTGGCTTTCAGGATGGAGCGCTCTCCTTTCCTCTGGAGGCCGTGAAGAGGCTGAAAGACCTCGAGGAGCTCCCGCAGCCCAGGCTCGCAAGCCCTCTCCGGAAGCTGGCACCCCGGCCTCGTGAATCTGCCGTTCCCAACGCTTGTAGAAACCAGAACTTTCCAGAAGCGCTCAAGCCTCTCTGCAAGGAGCCCAACGCAGGCCAGATCCTCCAGCGGCTGGGTGAGCAGCCTCCTCTCTGATTGGTGGGGTGCAAGGAGAAGGTGTGCTCTGATTGGGGGTTCGGAGGCGGGGCTCGGCTCTGATTGGTGGGTCTGCTAAGCCCTTTGCTTCTTCGGTTCCGATTGTAGCAGGCAAGGTCTAGGGCGATCCCAGCAGGCCATGAAGGGTACAGAGCCCCGCGCCCAATCCTCAGCCCTGAGCTGCATGGCCTCTGGTAGGGGCTCTCTGACCGGCTGGCCTGAGCGGTCCGTGTGTCCTGACTTGGACGGCAGCCTAGCGAGCCGGAGGACAGGCCCCTGGGATTCTGGGGGCAGGCACGGGTGTCTGGCTCAGGGCAGGCGTCTGGCTCGGGGTGGGGGGAGGAGGCTGCTCTCACCAGGCCCCGTCTTTTTGCCCAGTGGCCATCGCGCAGGACCCGAGCACGTGTGAGATCTGTGCCTACGCCGCCTGTACCGGATGCTAGGGTGACCCTGCCTTGCTCGCTGCCTTCTCTCTGCTACCTGCCAGGAGGGGCTGCCCCCCAAACCCCCACTCTCGGGAGCTCAGCCCGCTCTGGCTCAGGCTGTGGGGCGGTGGGGTGGGTGACATCAGAGCTGCCTCCGGACCAGAGGCCCGGTGCTTCCCAAATCCACTCCAACTCTCAGCTAATAAACCGGATTACAAACTACCCGTGGTCTTGCCTCCATTTCCTACCTTCACCTGTGAGTGTAGCCATCATCTGGCTTTAGGGATGTCTTCCCTGCCCGGGCCACGCGGGGTTCAGAGTGCTGAATGCGAAGACCCCACTGTTCCTGCAGAGCTGCCGGTCCCCTGGGGCTGCCAGGTGCAGAGGGGACCTGAATCTCCAGACCACGGGGTGATGATGAGAGCTCTGCTTTTCCTTCCCTTCTCCTGGGATCGCCAAAGTCACCAAGCCCAGGATTCGGTCCTAGCTGGTTGGGTGCCCAACACAGACACTTGGCCTGCTAGGGGATCAGCATCAAGCTCTCTCTTGAATAGTCAAGGTGTCCTGGATCTGGCTCTCTGACCACAGCAGTGTGGCCTCCCGCCCTGCCCAGGAATCCATCCCAAGCCACACCTCTGGCAACGTCATCTGTGTCCTGCTCGCCTCTGACCACCCCTCTTCCCACAATGCCAGGTGGATGCTGGCTCAGGTGCCAAGGCTTTGTTCCATGGCCTCTTTTCAAGAGGTTGTGCATGGCTGTGTGCCTGGGGAAGTCTCCCTGTGCCCCTGCAGGGCGGGGGCCTGTCCACGTGGATGATTGCAGATGACTGCCTGTGGAGACAACCCAAGCAGGGAATAGCAATGGGCTAGGGCTCCACAGCCTGTGTGGTGTTAGGAATGCAGCTTCTGCTTTGTGGCCCCAGCCTCTGCCTCTGTTAACCCCAGGGCACTGCCAATACCTGCCTCCCAGGCTGGGCAAAAGAATGCATGGAAGCCCCGACCCCAATAGATCTACACAGCCATAAGAGGAATTCAATCCATGGTAACAACCCCAGGAAGGGACCAAGGTCAGGCTGAGGGTGATTCAGGCAGGGGTGAGAGGGGCAGGTGCAGGCTGAGGCCAGTGAGCAACAGCAGAGGGAACAAGGAAGGAGGAGACAGCCAGGGTCCTTCCTGGGAAGTGGGGTGGGTCTCGGGGGAAGGCCGCAGGAGGATTCAGACAGGATTCCCCTGGCTGCCGGATGCCCCGGGCTGAGGTCAGGTGTTGTGAACTGGGCAGGGAGATTGCATTTTCCTTAGCCCTGGGAATGTATCTTGGGATGGATGGAATTTCAGAACCAACACGGAAGCCGGGAGAAAGAGGTGTCCAGAAGGTGAGGGCGGGGTGGGGTGGCCACAGACACAGGCACTAGAGCCGTACAGTTGGGACTGTGGGCAGCCTGGGAGGCAGCCAGGACCGGGTTAAGCCTGACTGTGTTATCCACAAGCAGTGTGTCCTTCTCTGAGACTCGATTTCACAGAGCCTGCCTCCGAGGCTGCTGGAAGTTCGGGGAGATGTGTAGTGGGGGTGGAATCCTTTCATGCTCCAACTCTGGGATGAGTCCTGGCTCTGCCTGCTGCAGTTGTGTGGCTTCGGACAGGTTCCTTAGCCTGCTCTCTCCTCAGTTTTCTTTCCCATGACATGGGATGACAAGAATCTCCACGTGACCCTACTTCTGGGTATGGATCTGAATGACATGGATTCAACGCATCCAAGAGGCACCTGCACGCACCGTTCATTGTCGCACTGTTGACAGTAGCCCAGGTGTGGAAGCCACTGGGGTGTCCATTGACAGATGAACTGATCAAGAAAATGTGCTGTGTGTACTTGTGGAATAGTATTCAGCCCTAAAACCAAACGGGATCCTGACGTTTGCAGTGAGTGGAACTGGAGGCTGTTGTGTTAAGCAAAGTCAGCCAGACACAGAAAGACAAACTTTGCATGCTTATCTCTCCTATGTGGAAGTTAAAGTTGATGTGAGAGATGACCAGAGCATGGGAACGGTGGGGGAGAGGGGCCAGAGGGAGGTGTGTAATGGGTGTCAGAACACAGTCGGTCAGAGGAACAGGTTCTAGCTCCTGGTTCCTGGCTTCGGATCAGCCCAGCTCCGGCCATTGCGGCCATTCTGAGAGTGAACCAGCGGATGGAAGACCTCTCTCTCTCTCTCTCTCTCTCTGTAACTCTGCCTTTTGAATAAAATAAATACATCTTTTTTTTAAAAAAAAGTGCAAGGATTATGTTAGTTAGAAATTGAGAAGATAAACAAAGGATCTCTTTATAGGGCTGAATGAAGATTAAACATAGCAATACTGAAAAATACTGGGATTCTTAAAGCGCAACCAGTCCTGAACAACTGTGGGTTAAAGAAGAAATTAAAAGGCAATTGGAAAAGTATCTTAAAGAAAAAAGTGGAAGCACAACATACTAAAATTTATGGGCTGCAGCAAAAGCAGTTCAAAGAAGGAAGATTATAGTAATAAACACATAATAAAAAAAGAGAAATTTCTCAAACAACTACACTTCAAGGAAGTAGCAGAAGAAGAATCTAAGCTCAAATTACTAGAGAGGAGGAAATAATAAAGTTCAGAGCAGAAAGAAATGATTGAGAGACCGGACAAGCATAGGAAATGTCAACAAAATTAGGAGTTGTAGTCTTTTTTTTTTTTTTATTTGAAAGTCAGAGACAGATCTTCCATCTGCTGGCTCACTCCCCAGACGGCTGCAATGGTCAGTGCTGGGCCAGGCCAGAACAAAGAGCCAAGAACTTCTTCTTGGTCTCCCATGTGAGTGCAGGGGCCCAACCTCTACTGGTTTCCCAGGCCATAGCAGAGAGCTGGATCGGAAGTGGAGCAACAGGACTCAAACCGGCGCCCATATGGGATGCCGGCATCCCAGCCAGCGGCCTTACCCACTACTCCACAACACTGGCCCAGGAGATGCAGTTTTCAAAAAGATAGAATTGACAAGTCTTTAATTTGACTAAGAAGAAAAAAGAAGATTCAAGTTAAAAGCATTAAAACTTTTCCAAGACTAGGAAAAGAACAAGGATCTCTACTCTCACTACTTTTATTTAACATAGTGCTGGAAGTCCCAGCCAGAGTAAGTAGACAAGGAAAAGAAATAAAAGGTATATAACGTAGAAAGGAAGAAGTTAAATTATCTCTGTTTGAACAGGAGGTGATCTTATGTATAGAAAACCCTAAAGACACAAATAAGTGGAAAGATATCCTGTGTTCATGGATTAGAAGAATTAATATTGTTAAAATGGTTTACAGATTTGATACAGTCCCTATCAAAATTCCAACTACATTCTTCACGGAAACAGGAGATGTGATTTTAAAATTCATATGCAACTGCAAAAGGACATGATTGCCACAGCAATCCCGAGCCAATAAAACAAAGCTAGAGACACCACACTGCAGATCTCAAAATCTACCACAGGGGCCGGCGCTGTGGCGTAGTGGGTAAAGCCGCTGCCTGCAGTGCTGGCATCCCATATGGGCGCCAGTTTGAGTCCCAGCTGCTCCACTTCTGATCCAGCTCTCTGCTATGGTCTGGGAAAGCAGCAGAAGATGGCCCAACTGCTTGGGCCCCTGCACCTGCTGGGGAGACCCAGGAGAAGCTCTTGGCTCCTGGCTTCGGATCAGCATGGCTCCCGCCGTTGCGGACAATTGGGGAGTGAACTAGCAGATGGAAGACCTTTCTGTTTCTCCTTCTCTCCACCTGTAACTCTACCTTTAAATAAATAAAATCTTTATTTTTTAAAAAAGTGAAATAACTCAGGCACAGACAGACAAGTCATGCATAATCTCACTTACATATGAAATCTAAAAAAAAAAAAAAAATGAACTCATGCAAGCAGAAAGTAGAACCATGGTTAGAAGGGTCTGGGGCCAGGCAGAAGGTGGTGGAAACAGGACATGGTAAGGGGGGAGGGGGGAGGGCAGAGAGACACTCCTTGGGCCCTAAGCAAGTCCTTTTCCGGGCTGCTGTTGTGACCGGGAAGAACCTGCTTTGTCGCATCTGAGATCCTGGGCCAGGTATTTTCCTCTCTGCACCTGTCGCTCCGTGGTGGTACAGCAGGGAGGGGACAACACTATCTGTTTCATCTGACTGTCATGAGGACTCTGTGCATCAGCGCGTGCCAAGTGCATACAGTGATGCTTAGAATACAGTAAATGCTCCATCAACACTGGCTGGCACTATTATCACTTTTTAAAAAACATTTATTTATTTATTTATTTGAAAGGCAGAGTTACAGAGAGAGAGTGAGCGAGTGAGCAAGAGAGAGATGTCTTCCATTCACTAGTTCACTCCCCAGATGGCCGCAACAGCCGGAGCTGGGCTGATCTGAAACCAGGAGCCAGGTGCTTCTTTCAGGTCTCCCACATGGGTGCAGGGGCCCAAGGATTTGGGCCATCTTCTGCTGCTTTCCCAGGTGCATTATCAGGGAGCTGGATCAGAAGTGGAAGAGCGGGGACTCGAACTGGTACCCATATGGGATGGTGGTACTTCAGGCCGATGCCTAACCCGCTGTGCCACAGTGCCAGCCCCAGGCACTATTATGGTTAATATCCCTTAGGGCTGCTAGGAGGGAGGGAGGGAGGGACAGAGGGCTCACAGCTGGAGCCGGCCAGGTGATCCCTGGGGAGGCCTGGAGCGGAGCAGGAGCTCGGGGAAGTGTTCCCAGGCCGGCTCCGGCAGTCAGCCTGGATTATGTCGGAGGGGGTGCTGGGTGATTCCTCCCCTGTGCACTCCGCCTGTTCCCCCGACTCCTGCCCGGCCCCACTCCTGGTCAGGAACACAGAAGCCCTTGCTCTGAAGCTGAGGACGCCTGGAGCTCGACTTTGGGACAAGTGGGTCTAGGTTGCTCGTGAGCCTGGGAGACTCACTCCCATTCCAGACCTCAGCACCCCCATCTGCCAAATGGGCCTTAATGAGTCACCACTTCAGGTGCTGGAGGCCGCAGGGAAGTTTCCTTCCTCCCCACCTCGCCCAAGACCATCTGGGTACAAGGAAGGGAGACGCTGACTCCACGTGTGGCATGGAATCTTTATTTAGAAGCAGGGCTGCCTTGGGGATAAGCCCTCCTCCTGTCCCATGTCCTTTGCATCAGATCTGGCTGCTTGGGCCCTGGGAAGGCAGTGATGGCCCTTGGGGGCCAGGGGCCCCGCCCGAGCTCGGCTGGGGTGGGAGGCTGCCAGGACAGACAGCTGACGGTCCAGGGCTCCAGGGTGGGCTCCAGTACCCGGGCCATCTCAGAAGCAGCCGGTGCAGGCGACGTTCACACATAGCTCACAGTCGTCCACGGCGATGTGTCCTGGACAGGAGAGAGAGGGGGCCAGCTGAGGCTGAATGTGGGGAGCTGGAGGCCGGGCAGCAGCGAGAAGCAAGGGAAGATGCTTGGCTCACGGCCTGGGCACCATCCTTTGGAGCGGGGCCCTTGTGCTCAGTTCTCCTGCTTGCTACAGGGACAGGGCACAGGGCTGCCGTGCACAGGGACGGCTGCAGGGCGCTTCTGGCTTCGGCCTGGCCCAGCCCTGGCTGTTGCACACATTTGAAACAGTGGATGAGATAGCTGTGTCTCTCTTTCTCTCTACCTCTCAAACAAACAACATTAGAACAAAATAAAAGGGGGTCGGCACTGTGGCATAGTGGGTTAAGCCACCGCCTGCAGCACCAGCATCCCATATGGGCACTGGTTCAAGTCTCGGCTGCTCCTCTTCTGATCCAGGATCCTGCTAACAGGCTTGGGAAAGCAGCTCCTGGCTCCTGGCTCCTGGCTCCTGGCTCCTGGCTCCTGGCTCCTGGCTCCTGGCTCCTGGCTTTGGCCTGGCCCAGCTGCAGCCATTGCAGCCATCTGGGAAGTGAACCAGCAGATGGAAGATTCTCTGTCTCTCTGTCTCTCTCATTTTCTCCCACATGTGTATATCTCCCTCTCTTTCTCTAAGTCCGCCTTTCAAAATAAATAAAATCAATCTTTTTTTTAATTTGACAGGTAGAGATATAGTCAGTGAGAGAGACAGAGAGAAAGGTCTTCCTTCTGCTGGTTCACTCCTCAAATGGCTGCTACAGCTGGTGCTGTGCCAATCCGAAGGCAGGAGCCAGGTGCTTCTCCTGGTCTCCCATGGGGTGCAGGGCCCTAGCACTTGGGCCATCCTCCACTGCACCCCCAGGCCACAGCAGAGAGCTGGACTGGAAGGGGAGCAACCGGGACCAGAACCCAGCACCCATATTGGGATGCCGGCGCTGCAGGCAGAGGATTAACCAAATGAGCCACGGTGCTGGCCCAATAAAATAAATCTTTAAAAAAATATTTAAAAAATAAAAAAGAGTTCTGCTCAGCTGCCATCTCCTGTTGGAGGCCTTGCAGGCCCCTCCTTCCCTTGGATGCGAGCACCTGTCTCTGGGCTTCTGGGATTAAGAGGGTTCCCGGGGCGTCTGCCTTGCTGAGCTCCGACCTGGCCAGTTCCAGGAGGATGGGGCCAAGTTTTCTGAATCCCCTTGTCCTGGCCCCTGCCTGCCAGCAGAGCATGGAGGAGCTGGGTGTGGGAGGAGGCACCCGAGAGGAGGGGGTCCTGCGGGGGCAGCCACTCACTCAAGGTGTCGAAGATGCTGGCCGCTTCCTGCAAGGCACAGATGGGCCGGAGGTCCAGGGGCAGCGCCGGGTGGTGGCACACAGCAGGCTGGGGGCTTTTGCTGCTGTGGGTCATCTGGTACCCTTCCAGGTCACTCAGCTTCTTCACGGATTCCAGCTGCACCTTGAAGCCTTGATACTGCGGAGGGGAAGAGATGGGAGCCATCAGGCCCCCAGCCAGGAAGCCACTGCCACAGCCCTGCGGCTCCTCCACCCCTGATGGTCCTCATGGAAAGTCCAGCCTGACCGTCTCCCACCCAATGCCCGCCGCACTCCACCGTGAGCAGGCTGTTGGGCGGGGGTGATAGAGACAGGTGCACCCTGGCTCCCATCCCAGCTCTGTCACTGCCTGGCTGCTGGCTTTTGTCTGCTGGGAGCCTCAGCCCCCTCATCTGACGTCCCCTGCTGGGGGCTGGCACCAGGACACACTCACTGACCCGGTGCTGTACCTGGAACCAACCTGGCTGAGTGATGGCACCCACAGCTAGTCGGGCTGCATGGCCAGGGCTGCAGGGGGACGCTGACTCCCTGCAGCCTCCACAGGACCCCTTTGTACTTCCCAGGGAGGCCCTGCCCAGAGCCAGGAGTGCACCCTGGGGCCACAGGAAGGCCCCCAGCTCCTTCCCTGTCCCAAGCAGGCCTGGCTGCCGTGGCTCTGGCAGCCTCACAGGTGCCTTGGACAGACACTGGGACTCTCCCCTCTTCTCCTGGGGCCTTCGCACACGCAGTGCCCTGGGCCTCACCACCGCCTCACCCTGCAGCTCCATCAAGGTTACCTGCAGAGGACATTACTCTGGTGCTTCCCCTCCACCACCCACATGTGGGGGTGAACAGAGCACCCCAGGACATGAGAGGGGGCCTGCTGCCCTCCTGGGCCCCATTGCCCGTCAGGACAGAGTCCACATCTCTCTCTACTCTCTGACCTTGGCCTTGGAGGAGAGCCGGGAGGAATGCACCAAAGTTCATAGTTATTGTCACCATCAGCCGCTGTCCACATTCCAGCGGCCCCACCCACCAGCTGTCTTGGTCCTCGAGGCAGTGACGATGTGGGCTGAGCCCTGGGCCCTCCAGGCAGACAGCAGGCTGGCGGGGGACTCACCTGGATGTAGACTGACTGTGTGCTGTGCAACAGCACCAGGAGGACCACAGCCACCCCCGACAGGAGCCCCATGGTCCTGCTGCCCGTCTCGGGTCCTCCGTGTCGCCGTCCACCTGGCTCCCACCTGCTTCCCTATTGAGCAGCTCCTTATAGGCCAGGCTCCAGGCCCTGGTCACTCATTAACTGGCCGGCTGGGGTGGGGTTGACAGCAGGCTGACTCTGTGACAAGCCCAGAGCTGGTTCCCAGGAGGGAGGTTGGGGTGATGAGGCTGGAAGCCCCGAGCGTGTGGGGCACAGTGCGTGCAGAGCTCCGTGCCAGGGCCCGCCTCCACATCACTTTCCATCAGCTCCCTGCAGGGACAGGGGAAGTGAAGCTCAAGAGGTGGTGCCCTGCCCCTGGTGACGGAGCCAGTCAGTGGCAGGGCACGAAGGCCAGCAGAGGTCTTTGGCCCAGGTCAGCCCCTGGTTCCGGACAGGCTGGCCTGGGACCAGATGGGCAGGTGCAGTACTGATGTGAGCACGCTCCAGTCCTGGCTGCACTGAGACCGCTCTCCCTCCTAGCCCTCTCCTTGCGTCTGTTTAATGACAAGTCTTCTTTTTTAAGCATTTGTTTATTGATTTGAAAGGCAGAGTAATACAGAGGGAGAGATGGAAGAGAGAGAGAGAGAGAGAGGTCTTCCATCTGCTGGTTCACTCCCCAAATGGCCGCAATGGCTAGGGCTGGGCCAGGCTGAAGCCAGGGACCTAGAACTCCATCCAGGTCTCCCACATGGGTGGCAGCGACCCAAGCATTTGGGCCATCTTCTGCAGCTTTCCCAGGTGCATTCGTGGGAAGCTAGATGGGAAGCAGAGCAGTCACGTCTCAAACCAGCGCTCATGTGGGATGCCAATGTCTAAGCAGCCGCTTAACCAACGTTGTGCTACAAATGCTGGTCCCAAGGACCATTCTATCCAGCTGCCTAGGCCTCCACTTCGCCTCTGCCTGCCACCTCCCACCCAAGCCACGTGCCCCAGAGCCAAGCGGGTCCTCTTTCACCTGTCTGTGCCTTTCAGAAGCCAACAGTTGAACTTGGTCTGCAGGAATGAGCTCCAGCCTTGAGCAATGGGCCTGGCCATGGATCCTCGTCCCGTGGCAGCAGCGTGATCTTGGGCATGTCACATCAAATCGGACTGAGCCTTAGTTTTCTCTTCCCCCAAATGGGTGTAAGAGAACCCACAGCATAAGACTGCTCTAAGAAGGGAGGGGGCCCGGCCGGCAGCAGGGACCCCAGCCTCACGCTGCCTTCCACACAGTGCATCACCAACCGCCTCAGCGGCTACAGGTTGGGTCAGAGAAAAGGGCGCTGTGTATAAGGGTGATGTCCCCACTGCCAGCTCAGGCAGCCATAAACAGGGCTGGCTCCAGGGTCATCTCCGCCAGGCACAGGCTGGCATTGACGGGCATCCCACACATACTGTGGAGCTGACGTTCTCACAGCCCATCTTGGCGCTGAAGATGTCACTCCAGCTTCGTGGCTAAAATCTGATGTCATGGAGCTCCCTCGCGCCCCCTCGCCACGCCCAGTCCCGCCTGGTTTTATTGCACAGGATTCCACCTGCTGAAAGGTTCATCTTCCTCTTTCTTATCTTGATTGAAATGGAAAAAAGGAGTGAAAGTGGACTCTGAACTCTCATGTCTTGCTATGAATCCAGACTCCGGAGTTCACTCTTTTTTTTTTTTTCTTATTTTTGAATTGGTTGTGATGATGGTTGCACAACTCTGTGAATATAGAGTTGTAATGTTTATTTTTTAAAAGATGTATTTAATTTATTTGAAAGGCAGAATTGCACACACACACTCACAGAGAGAGAGAAAGAGATCGGGAGAGATCTTCCATTTTCAGGTTCTCCACATGGGTGGCAGGAGCTCAGTCACCTGGGGCCCCTGGAGGCAGGAGCCAGCACTGGGCATCAGACCCAGGGACACGGGACACAGGGACACGGGACACAGGGACACGGGACACAGGGACACGGGACACAGGCCGAGCACCTGCCCAGGGCACTTTCTTCATGACAGACGTGGCGGAGGCTCTTTGGGGGAAGCTCCTACATGGATGGCGGTGGGTGACCATCTGCCCGTGTGTGTGTGTGTGTGTGTCTGTGTGTGTCTGTGGCGGTGCCACAGTGCCCCACTGCCCACCGCCACAGTACTCCAGAGCCCACTGCTGCAGTACCCAGTGCCCAGGACTCATGTCCCCAGCAGCACTGGTCACAGCTGGTCACGCCATCTTTCCTGGAGTAAAACCCTTTCTCTGTTCACTTGGTTTCCACCACACACGCTCTCCGGTGGTTTGCCAAGGTCCTGGCCCCACCTTCTCCACTTCCTGTGCTGGGTTTTCCTTCTCTTCTCGACCCTGGAGGTGAGAAATGACCGCTAGGTGCCAGAGCTTAGCGCCTGCGCCCCTTGCCTCGGCTGTAGTCACGCCTTTATCCAGTCTGAAGGATTCCAGCAGTGCCCTGCCTGGTTCGGACCCTAGCCCACCTCTCCCCTCTACCAGACTCACTCGTCTCCCCGCTTCCTCAGCACCTTCCATCACCCGTCCAAAGCCTGGGCGTCCTCCTTGGCATATTCTTTCTTTCCTTTGCCAGATGCAGTAGCAAATTCAGTTGGCTCCATCTTCCAAGTGTATCTGGACTCCAAATGACCACCGAGGTCCAAGCTGTCATCATGGGTCTCAGCCTCGTGTGAGGCAGAGAAACACAGCCAGTGGGACACACATGAAGATGGAATTAAGAAATAATTTGGTAGGGCCGGTGCCGCGGCTCACTAGGCTAATCCTCCACCTTGCGGCACCGGCACACCGGGTTCTAGTCCCGGTCGGGGCGCCGGATTCTGTCCCGGTTGCCCCTCTTCCAGGCCAGCTCTCTGCTATGGTCTGGGAGTGCAGTGGAGAATGGCCCAGGTGCTTGGGCCCTGCACCCCATGGGAGACCAGGAGAAGCACCTGGCTCCTGGCTCCTGCCATCGGATCAGCGCGGTGCGCCGGCCGCAGCGCGCCAGCCGCGGCGGCCATTGGAGGGTGAACCAACGGTAAAGGAAGACCTTTCTCTCTGTCTCTCTCTCTCTCACTGTCCACTCTGCCTGTCAAAAAAAAAAAAAAAAAAAAATAGAGCAAGTGGGAGACGCAGGCGGGGCTGCGCTTGTTCCACTTCCGGAAACCTCCGTATCTGCTCTTGAGGCTGTCGGCGGATTAGACAGAGCCCGCCCGCACAGTACCGAGGGAATCCGCTTTGTGAGTCCATTGGTTACAAACGTTGACCACAGCCGAAAACACGCTTTCACAGCAGCATCTAGACCCGTGTTTGGCCAAACAAGTGGGCATCAGACCTGGCCAAGCTGACGCCGAAAGGATGCAGGAGGGCCGCCCCCGCCCCACCCCACCCCCCGTGCCCATTCTGCCCTCTTCAGGACTCCGCGCAGCAGCCAAAGTGATCCTGCTAAACTCTGAGCCCCATGGTGCCTCGGCCCCGCTCACCCCCTCTGCTGCGGGCCCTGGCCACTCAGAGCGCGGCCCAAGGGCTCCAGCCCACGAGTCCCCCTCTTCATCTCTGGCCTCCACTCTAGACCTTCCATCCTGCACTGCCTGCGTCCAGCCACACCAGCTCACTTGATGCCCCTCCCCCCCCCCCCCCGGCCTCCACATGCCAGGGCTTTTACCCCGAGGTCTTTGCTCCTTGCCCACATAAGGGCATCATTTACCCCCTCACTTCGCCAGGTCTCTGCTCCGTGCTGCTTCCTCGAAGAGACCTTTGCTACTCACTCTGCCGGGGGAACGTTTCTCCCACTGCTCCCCACCCCGTAATCTGCTCGCCGTTCATAGCTCCTTCGTTTCTTGCCTCTCTCTCTCCACTACAATGTAAGTGCTGTTTGAGTCAAGAATTTCCCTCTTGTTCTCCCCAAACAATACCTGGCAGTAACTGGCAAATACTTGAATAGGGGTAAGTAATTCAAGTATCCATTCTGCCACCCACTACCTGTTTAGCCTCAGGCAATTTCCCACCTCTCTGAGCCACAGCCACTTCATCTAGCATCTTCCTGCCCACGGTAGGTATTAAAGTGGTATTATCTTCCTAGCTATAAAATTGTTTATGATGAGATAGGAACCTTTTTGTGTCTTGGGTACACAGAAGTTCCCAGGGAAGCTGATAGTGTAATCAACAGTTCTTTCCTGATGACTTGTTATGTACTAGGCACCAGTCTAGGTTAGGGGAATAGACAAAGCCACTGGCCACCAAGCAGCATGGCGGTTTGGGTGGCGGGTGGGGATAAGGCGGCGAGAAGCGGCTGGAGTCTTGAAGTTCTTGGCAGTCAGAGCACACAGGATTTTCTGTGCACTTGGATGTGAAGGTTCAGGATCCAGCTCAAGCTGCCCCAAGCCAAATGGCTCTGCTCCTTGCTGAGATGGGGAGCGAGCAGGCCAGGTGGGGCTGTGGAAAGTTTGGTTTGCACAAGATCAAGTCTGAGATGCCTGTGAGGCCTCTGAGGAGGGCCGTGGCTGCCCGCACCCATGTTGTGGTCGTCAGGGTGCGTCTGCCGGTGACAGTCCTGACGCTAGATTGAAGGAGTGGCTGGATGGAGAAGAGACAGCTTCCAGGACAGAGCTCTTGGCCCGGCACCGTTCGGAGATGAGGTGGTGGCGGGAGAAGCAGCCAAGCAGATGGGGACACTGATGTTGTCACAGCCCAATGAACATGGAGCTTCAGGAGCAAGAACGTGCCAGCTGGGTGTCCCTGCTGGCCTTGAAAATATCAACTCCGGGGGCCAGCACTGTGGCGCAGTGGGTTAATGCTCTGGCCTGAAGTGCTGGCAACCCATATGGGTGTCGGTTCTAGTCCCGGCTTCTCCTCTTCCGATCCGGCTCTCTGCTATGGCCTGGGATAGCAGTAGAAGATGGCCCAAGTCCTTGGGCCCTTGCACCTGTGTGGGAGACCCAGAAGAAGCTTCTGGCTTCAGGCTTCGGATCAGCTCAGCTCCGGCTTTTGTGGCCATTTGGGGAGTGAACCAGCGGATGGAAGACCTCTCTCTATCTCTACCTCTCTTTGTAACTCTATCTTTCAAATAAAACAAATCTTAAAAAAAGAAAATATCAACTGCAAGAGCAGTAAGAAAGCAAACATGACAGGAATAGGTCCAAGAAAGCAAAGCACAGAAGAATAGAAA